ATTATTGGAACGTATGGTTCATCTGTAAACATAACAATTATTAATTTAAAAATATAACAATTATTAATTTAAATATATAATACAATATTATAAATCACACTTTTTCACACTTTTAACCTCAGCCTATTTTCGCTGACATTCGCTGCAATCCCTGATCATCGGTGCTGGACCGTCAATATGCGTTCGCATCCACGGCCGATTGTAATGTTCGAGGCAGCGACGATATGTCTGAACCTCCGGATCCGTCTTGATATGCTCCGGAAGCTTGTCCCACAAATGCTCTACGAAATATCCGCACTTTTGCAGTAAAACAATCTTCGGAATATATTGTAACTGTTCGGCACTTAAACTGAGAATGTCGGAAGCACTTGATAGTATTACAAACATCTTGAATGAAGAGAGCGTGCGCTCGCCAGTGGTACTATGGCCCGGCAGCGGCATCGGTCCTCATTATATATCCCCGATCAACCCTTTGTTCGTCAACGTACGAACGAGAAAAATTTAGATGACGTAAATTTTCGGCGCTTGTTTTGTTTATAAATTCCTGCAGCCGCTGGTTATCGGCGCTGGTATTTCTTCCTAAGATAAACAATAAAGAACCGCCGCTTATTGGGGAGGTACCGCGAGGGTGATATACAATCCCATGCAAAAACATGTCGCAGGCCGCAAGCGATGAGGTTGCAGGCAGCAACTTGTTCGCCCTGAAACTTTACCCGCTGATATTTCTTAGAAATATACGTATAGATCATGTATCAACCCCCTTGATTGTCGGCGTATGCCAAGCGGTGACCCTTCTTAAAATTTGATTATCTTAGATTTTCAGAGAACTGATTGTCGGCGCATGCCAAGCGGTGGCCCTTCTTAAAATTTGATTATATTTCTTAGAAATATACAGATAACGTATGAGGAGAAGAAACGCAACCCCCCCCCCTTCCCCTGATTGTCGGCAGCCCTTTGTAATAGATATTGATGGAATGTTTATCTTCTGTTTATAAACATAAACGTATGAGGAGAAGAAACGCAACCCCCCCCCCCACCCCTGATTGTCGGCAGCCCTTTGTAATAGATATTGATGGAATGTTTATCTTTTGTTTATAAACATAAACGTATGAGGAGAAGAAACGCAACCCCCCCCCCCCCCCCGATTGTCGGCAACCCTTTGTAATAGATATTGTTTATCTTTTGTTTATAAACATAGATAAGCTTATCTGCTGATAAGACCCCCCGCCCGCGTGACGTCATACCCCCTCGCCCCCAAAAACCCCCCCGCCCCGCACCCCCCTCATTGCCCCTGAGTTAGAACTCTCATAGTATCCCTACTTGTGAATTTGCAAAAGAGGATGCAAATATAAACATATAAACAGATGGATAAACACAACTCCAATATAGCGCGGTATCTAATAAAGATACCATAAACTCTCTGAACCTCAGGATTCCGGGATTATTTTGGAAACTCTCTCGCGCGACAACAGCATAACACGAAGTTTCCCTCGTAATAATTTGCCGAGTGCGTTTATTACGAGCTATCATAAAATTAAGAAGAAGAATATACTGTTAATATCCTCGTCATAATACGCACCGTTTCGGCAGAACGCGACCAACGCGTATTTATGGACCCGCATCATGGCAAAGACTTATCATTAATAGATTTCATACGCAGTTCAAGTACAGAGTAATAAAGCGGAGATAAAAATTATTCATTTTATTGCTAGAATTTTCAGATTAATCATTAAAATATTTCAAACAAAAAAGTTATATTAGTTTATATGTATTATCATTTTTTCAAATATTAATTATATATTTTTACTATTATTGCCAATTTTTATATGTAACACTTATAAGTGCTACATAAATATTTATTTAACTCTAACGATCATATGCAAATCTACGTGTATATAATAAGAATAATCAATATAAAAAATTGAAATTTTATTAATTATTAGACAAATCAAATTATATCGAATTTATATTTTACTCTCTTCTCTCTCTCTCTCTCTCTCTCTCTCTCTCTCTTTCTCTCTCTTTCTCTCTAGAAAATATATTTTACTAAAAGTATATTTTATATCTATACATATACTGTAGGCATATAATTTATTATTTTTTTTTTTACCTATTTTATTTTATGTGTGTGTAGATATCAATATTTCTCAAATAAAGCACAAACATACATCCCTAGATAAAAATTCTAAGTTTAGCAGTTTAATTAAATCGAAAACAATCTATATAAAAAGCCAAAAACTGTAATATATATCCAAAAAAGAAATAATTCTTTGTAAAACTAAATCAAAAATTTAGAATAAAATTGTAGAAAATTTCAGAAATAATTTATTATTTTTTATTAATATCAGTTATAAAAAATAATGTATTAAATATAAAATCTCTGTATTTAATACAACTTTGTCTAATTGGATAAAGTGCAACTTTATACGAAAGTTATGGTGAAGCTACTATAGGGAGGTCCATGCCCTGTCTGTGTCTCTCTAAATCGATTTTAGACCCATGGACCACCAGAGGCGTACACATTTGTGTTGAAAGAACACATTGTCAGATGGAAAGAAACCTTTGTCCGTAATTAAATAATTTTCGTAACAAGACCTTTTTCCTTGTTTTCATCTTTAAAATTATAAAACATGGCACTCTATATATATTTCTTATAACATACATTTTCTAAAATTAAATTCTAATAAAGTATACTAAATAAAAAAAATATTAAACTGTAGTTATTAAATGTGGCAAATTTAAAATATGTATTAAATATTATATTATCTCAAAAATATATTTAAAGATCAAATAAGTTCGAGACAAGTGAGAAAAAATAAAAATAAACAACATGACCAAATGCTTTTCCTGTACTCTGAAATATCTCTTATTAATCTATGATTTTTTTATGTGACGAACAAAAAGAAAAAATGCATTACTCGAATGCAACGCATTTATATCGCAGTTATCGCTGTTCATACGTCCTTCTTGATAAGGCTTCAATGTGTGTTGCGCATTTATGAATTATCTTTCTCCCTTATTTCCGGTAATATATTATACAAGAGACAAGATTTGAGACTTATTTTTTTCGCCGTAAATGCAATGAATTATGATTTTAGCTAAATTAATTCTAACATTTTTTTTAAAAAAGGTAAAAAACATACGCCAAAAATACATAAAAAATATAAGCTTATACGTAAAAAAGTAAAAAAATATTTTTACAACTTACAACTTACAAAATTAGATATTTAAAAATAAATATGAGGTCAATGTATGTTTGCAAAAAGAGAGTCAAGTAGAAAGTTGTCAAGTATCATAGTTGATTGCATACTATAAATTTATAATTAACGTTAACTGTAATTTATGAATAACCATTATATATAATTCGTATAATACCTATATTTTATACTATATATTGTATGTGTGTATAATATAAAAGAAAATCTTTCATAAATTTTAAATTACGTATTTAAGCGAAATATAAAAATTCAGCGTGCCCACAAGTTGCATTAAAATGCATATGTATATTTTGCCAACACACACTTTAACTGTATAAATTAGAATAAATTTGTATCGTCGTTAGTTTGAAGTATGTATTTAATATATTTTAATATAAAACAAGATAAAGTTATAAAAAATTCCAATTATTACAAAAGATGTAAAAAAAATATCTGCTAAAAATATCTGTAAAAAACATCAATCTACAAACTTCAATAAGTGCAACAATCTTTATAAAATTCTGGATACAGAAGTATATAGTAACGCTCACCGATAGATAATGATATAAATCTAGCCAAATCTTATCATTACTTTTATGTACTTACTTTTCATGTAGTTGCATTAAAAAAGTCTCTTCAGCATTCAATAATTTATATAAGCTGTTTAATATTATGCAATAAGTAATATATATATATTTATCTTTCAGAATTATACACTAAAAATAAGATTTTTTTGCATCTGTTCTATTGAACAAGACGCACTTACCTTCTGTTCTATTTATATAAACATACATATATCATAATAAAAAATAATCACTTTATATGTTTTATTCAAAATAAACATTTTTAACACATCATAATATATATATGTGTATATATATAATTAATATATATATTATTTTATCAAAATTTAGAAATATAGATATGTATATACGTAATATGTATTTATATATATATATATGAAAAGAGTTGAGCGTGTAAATTAATTTTTTATTTTGTATTTTATCTCTTATATATCTTGATATTTTATATTTCCGCTATATTTTATATTAGCTGAAAAGTTTTAAATATGTTATATTTTCAGATACGAGTTTTGTATAAAACTGATTTTTCAGCAGAGCATTCTAAGCCGCTCCATTTACTTTTATCATCGCGCTTTATCGGTTTACGATATCTTGCGATTACAAACTCCACATTTTTACGCGCTTTCGTTAACGAAACCATTCTTGCACACTTTTTAATTCCATGCAAATTAATACAAATGTTTGTACACCAATTAAGTTTCTGAAATTGCTAAAAAAGAAAAAGAAGGCTATATCGAGAATAGCCGTGCTCTCAAAATATAGATCGCGCAATAACGAGTATTTTTCATTGACAGAATCCAATTTAGTCACATGTCCCCGCGAGCTTATGCAGTCTAATATATTTTAATCAGATTCTCCTCCAGAGAAAAATGTTAAATAAAAATTATATCTCATCGATCACTTAAATTTTCACCAGTATGCTGCTAAATAGCATACAGTATGAAAAACTGAATATATAATCGCGAATAAAAATGCAATATTTTAAAATATATTGTATCAGAAACTATATGTGTGTATCACTTTGTCCTACGATATTTTCTTTATCAATAATTGTTCTTTAAAATATTTATAGTTCCTTTGAACAAGAGTTCTAAGAAGAGTTTTGCCTTTTAAAAGTAAAAAATATTATTTAAAATCAAATAAACATTAGCAAATCTCTTTGTAAATCTCTTACATAAACATTAAAATAATTGTTTGAAAAATTGTACAATTATTTTCATCATCTGAGCTCTTTGGAAACAAAAAATGTAAATATTCAGAATGCTTCAATACCAGAATTATTTCGTAATAAGCAGAATTGTCGAAAATCGAGTGGCATTTTACTTCGATATGTTTAAGTAAGAGATTTGATAGTCTTTATTTAGTTTTAGTTAATCTTTTAAATTTTAAAAGGAAGAACTCTTAATTATTTGTGAGTTCCACAAAATAAGACGCTTCACACACTCTATACCACTACAGAAATATTATAAAATAAACAATTTTTCACTCACCGATACGATGCAATAGCGGAATTGTAATGCACAGCATATTGATCTGAAAACAAAATATTCAAATTATGTATATACATAGTGTAGTGCTTAGATGATTTTAAAATTAGCTAGATAAAGATGAAATAAAAATATGTAAATTCATTTTAAATAAAATAAAGATGATTTTGTTTTAAATATAGATAAAAGATAAAATTATATGGCGATTTATCTAGATACTTTTCTAGATTCTAAATAATAATTTTTAAACTGCTTATGTGAACACAGATATAAAAGAATGTAAATTAAAAAAGGAATATAAAAATATATGTATTCATATTTTTATTTATAAATTTTTATCGCTTACTGCGTAAGTTCTACTATTTAAGTATTTTTATGTGTTATGATTCTAAACCAAAATTATCTGAAAATTACTCTAGATAATTTAATAAAGATACTTAATACTTTTTTTCATCTAAAGTACAAATATAGATAATACATATTTTTATTTCTATATAAAGATAAGATAACGCCAAAGTTTTATCAAGATAATCATTTATATACATTTTTGTAGATAACAGCAAACATTGCGTGTGTGTGTGTGTGTGTGTACAGAATGTCTGGAAACAATCAAAACAAACAATACAGTTTAGAAAAAAATATTTATAATTTGCATACCTCACAGTTGCCCCACTGTCGCCCGATGCCTCCCTGGGCCTTCTCCTCCTCTCTTGGTCCTTCGTTGCACTCACGACACTCGCGAAAACGAATAATTACGATCGTCCGGCACTTTACACAGCACTCCCAACACGACGCGTGAATCGCAATGTTACCTGTAACAAATAAAATGCATACATATATTAGAATAATCTTAGTTTATATTATAACATACACAGTTTAAATATGTAAGTTAAAATTAATTAAACATTTTTTTATTTAATCGCCAGAACTATTTTGTTTAAAATTTAAACTATCAAGAACTCCAGAACACTATTGAAAGTAAAGCCAAAACTTTCAATTATTTATGATTTTCCATTAAGCAACATTATTATTTTAAAATTTAATTAGCAAAGTAACGCTTTATTAATATTTTTTGACGGAAATCAGCTGATTAAAAATAGATTAATATTTTTGACAGAAATCAACTGATAACTGTCAAAAATGTTAATCGAATGTATAAAGTATTATGATAAATTATTTACACACACACGTAAAAGAGTCTTCAGTGATTCAAAATGGATGTGATTCAGAATTCTATCAACTATAATATATTTGAAAATTAATATGATTTATTTATAATAATTACCAAACAAATAATTTATAAATTATAAATATTATGATTAAATATAATTAATATTAAATAATTAAAAATATATACAACATTAAATATTTTTTTTAATTTTATTATAATCATTACCTAATATAATTAATGTATTTTTTAATTAAAATTATTATATTTTTTATTAAAATTTATTAATATATAAAAATAATATTTAAGAATGTTTATGTACTATTTTTCACATGTATAAAAAAGTATATAAAAACATTTACATGACTTGATTACTGTATAAATAACATCCTTAATCTTATTTTGATACAATGTCTCTGTAATGTCGACACATTGTCTTATCTCACATTACGCGGCTGATAGTAAAAATATTTACATGACCAACTAAAGTGCTAACGACTCGGATCAATGATCAAAGATAATACTTGTCTTACTCAGGTATAAATGTCTATCTGTATTGATTTTCTTTCTATTAGCATCCTCTAAAAACAAATAAATCCGCTAAAAAATTATATTATTTATGCATTTTGACAATTTTTTAAAATAAATAATTTATATTACAATAAGAATATTGTAATATAAATTATTTATTTTAAAAAATTATTTTAAAAAATATAGGTACAATAAAATATATCACCAAAATATATCGAAAGAATTAAAAATATTCTAATGATCGAGTTTAATTTTAAAAAATCATATTATGCGTGAAATAGAAAGAGGATAAATAATATGTGTATAAATTAAAAATAATAAAAAATTGATATTCTATATTTTATAACAATTATTATTTTTTATTACATAATTATTATTTTTTAATTAAATATATATAAGTGTCTATGTTCTTTAATTCCTCTAATTTAATATTTAATTTTTAAAAATCCTAGCTAAAAATTTTATTTACGAAAAAATTTGTATTAAACATTTAATTATTATAGAAAACTTTTTTATTGAGAAATTCGATCTTGATAATATATGTATATGTATATCGAGGAACAAGTTCTTGTGTACGTCAAGATCATAATTGTCGAAATACTATGTTAAAAACATTTATTCTTTTCTTTCATCACGTAGAATGACATCACGTAGAATGTCTTCTAGCGGTACAGACATCAAATGCGTAAGTAGATTTGATGTTTTCATAATACCCAGGAACGAGAACGATTTCTTTGCTAATATGGATCGAAACATTCACTTTTGTAATTTGCATCTTTTGATTATTTAATTAATTAAAATTTACTCAATAATAATTCGCAAATAAAATTTTTCACACATACACACATAATTCAATCTTGTATGACTATAAGCATAATGCATATAATAATTTTCTTATATACTAAACACGAATGAAGTAGACATTATATTATAATGCCAATCTAGATGATCAATCACTATCAAATTATTAAAAAGGTTCTTCATCAATTATGCATAAAATATTATTAAATATTATTAATTTATCTATTATTGGCATTACATACGTACATTCAAATTTATTAAATAATATTATTACGAATTATATATTATGTATTTTTATAAATTATTTTAATTTTTTAATTTATATATTAATAGCTTCAATATATAGATTTAATTTATTTTAAAAAATGGACATATATTTATATGTATATACATACGTGTGTGCATGTATTATATAAATAAGTAAATGTATGTACATTTTTAATTACATTAAATCTTTTATATTAAAGCTATTAATATAAAAATTAAAATTAAAATATAATTTATAAAAATACATACTTAATATCTAATGTAATATATAAAAATAATTGTATTTTTTATATGGAATAATAAAATAATTACTATATTTTAAACCGCAATTAAATACGCATAAAAATGCGTTGAAAGAAGCTGTATGTTGCTGCAAGTAGTGATACACATTTCTTAGAAACTACATATCGCGAAAGATGAATCGGTCACGTCACAAAAGGATAATCTTTCTGGAAGCCAAGGTGTTTCGGTTCATCATGATAAAAAATGATTTATCTTATACTAGTTAATCTAATATAAGATATTTCACTTAAAGATTTCCTTGAAATTTTCAATATATTTCATATTTAATCTTTAATATTTTTTGATAAATTTTAAATCAATCTTTTCCGACATCAATTATATTTTTTATAAAAAAAAGTTTAAAAAAAGCACAGATCTCTACACGTGCCTGTTGAAAAAATTATTATGCAAAGAAGGGTTGCTTTTTAATGCGCATATATTTATTGATTAACAGAAGAGTTTGATTGTTTATCATTTTCTTTATATTGAGAAAAACAATTATCTTAAAATATATTGTATGCACTTTTTTCTGCAATAAAAAATTTTAATTATTTTGAATCGTTTTTATTGCCTGCAATATATACATATAATGTCATCAGTTATATAAAATTTTTATTTTTTACATAAAATACTTTAAACTTTGATTTCTATTCACATATTTAATACTTTTTAACGTATAAGACGGGCAACAAGAGCCAAATCGCGGATGACAATGCGTTATCCTAACGAAACTAAATAATTTTTCGTTAGAATTAAATACCGGTGCACAAGGCACCAAATTTTTACTTGGACACGGCCAAGATTTTAAATATGAAATAATCTCATATTTTGAGATTTAATTTCAATACCCCTTTTAACCCCCCTACGGAAAATAAATAAATGAATGCAAGAGAAAAATATAGATCCGAAAATCGCTGAATCGGGAATCGAACCCGAGACCTTTCGCTTGCCGGGCGACTGCTCTTCCAGCTGAGCTATTCAGATCCTTTCGATTCTATACTTTTCTCTGTTATATATATTAATCTTGGTAAACAAACGCATTTTTTAAGCCAGCGTGTATCAAATATGAGAGTTTTAACAAGGCTCTGTAATATAAATATAAATTTAACGTATAAGACGGGCAACAAGAGCCAAATCGCGGATGACAATGCGTTATCCTAACGAAACTAAATAATTTTTCGTTAGAATTAAATACCGGTGCACAAGGCACCAAATTTTTACTTGGACACGGCCAAGATTTTAAATATGAAATAATCTCATATTTTGAGATTTAATTTCAATACCCCTTTTAACCCCCCTACGGAAAATAAATAAATGAATGCAAGAGAAAAATATAGATCCGAAAATCGCTGAATCGGGAATCGAACCCGAGACCTTTCGCTTGCCGGGCGACTGCTCTTCCAGCTGAGCTATTCAGATCCTTTCGATTCTATACTTTTCTCTGTTATATATATTAATCTTGGTAAACAAACGCATTTTTTAAGCCAGCGTGTATCAAATATGAGAGTTTTAACAAGGCTCTGTAATATAAATATAAATTTAACGTATAAGACGGGCAACAAGAGCCAAATCGCGGATGACAATGCGTTATCCTAACGAAACTAAATAATTTTTCGTTAGAATTAAATACCGGTGCACAAGGCACCAAATTTTTACTTGGACACGGCCAAGATTTTAAATATGAAATAATCTCATATTTTGAGATTTAATTTCAATACCCCTTTTAACCCCCCTACGGAAAATAAATAAATGAATGCAAGAGAAAAATATAGATCCGAAAATCGCTGAATCGGGAATCGAACCCGAGACCTTTCGCTTGCCGGGCGACTGCTCTTCCAGCTGAGCTATTCAGATCCTTTCGATTCTATACTTTTCTCTGTTATATATATTAATCTTGGTAAACAAACGCATTTTTTAAGCCAGCGTGTATCAAATATGAGAGTTTTAACAAGGCTCTGTAATATAAATATAAATTTAACGTATAAGACGGGCAACAAGAGCCAAATCGCGGATGACAATGCGTTATCCTAACGAAACTAAATAATTTTTCGTTAGAATTAAATACCGGTGCACAAGGCACCAAATTTTTACTTGGACACGGCCAAGATTTTAAATATGAAATAATCTCATATTTTGAGATTTAATTTCAATACCCCTTTTAACCCCCCTACGGAAAATAAATAAATGAATGCAAGAGAAAAATATAGATCCGAAAATCGCTGAATCGGGAATCGAACCCGAGACCTTTCGCTTGCCGGGCGACTGCTCTTCCAGCTGAGCTATTCAGATCCTTTCGATTCTATACTTTTCTCTGTTATATATATTAATCTTGGTAAACAAACGCATTTTTTAAGCCAGCGTGTATCAAATATGAGAGTTTTAACAAGGCTCTGTAATATAAATATAAATTTAACGTATAAGACGGGCAACAAGAGCCAAATCGCGGATGACAATGCGTTATCCTAACGAAACTAAATAATTTTTCGTTAGAATTAAATACCGGTGCACAAGGCACCAAATTTTTACTTGGACACGGCCAAGATTTTAAATATGAAATAATCTCATATTTTGAGATTTAATTTCAATACCCCTTTTAACCCCCCTACGGAAAATAAATAAATGAATGCAAGAGAAAAATATAGATCCGAAAATCGCTGAATCGGGAATCGAACCCGAGACCTTTCGCTTGCCGGGCGACTGCTCTTCCAGCTGAGCTATTCAGATCCTTTCGATTCTATACTTTTCTCTGTTATATATATTAATCTTGGTAAACAAACGCATTTTTTAAGCCAGCGTGTATCAAATATGAGAGTTTTAACAAGGCTCTGTAATATAAATATAAATTTAACGTATAAGACGGGCAACAAGAGCCAAATCGCGGATGACAATGCGTTATCCTAACGAAACTAAATAATTTTTCGTTAGAATTAAATACCGGTGCACAAGGCACCAAATTTTTACTTGGACACGGCCAAGATTTTAAATATGAAATAATCTCATATTTTGAGATTTAATTTCAATACCCCTTTTAACCCCCCTACGGAAAATAAATAAATGAATGCAAGAGAAAAATATAGATCCGAAAATCGCTGAATCGGGAATCGAACCCGAGACCTTTCGCTTGCCGGGCGACTGCTCTTCCAGCTGAGCTATTCAGATCCTTTCGATTCTATACTTTTCTCTGTTATATATATTAATCTTGGTAAACAAACGCATTTTTTAAGCCAGCGTGTATCAAATATGAGAGTTTTAACAAGGCTCTGTAATATAAATATAAATTTAACGTATAAGACGGGCAACAAGAGCCAAATCGCGGATGACAATGCGTTATCCTAACGAAACTAAATAATTTTTCGTTAGAATTAAATACCGGTGCACAAGGCACCAAATTTTTACTTGGACACGGCCAAGATTTTAAATATGAAATAATCTCATATTTTGAGATTTAATTTCAATACCCTTTTAACCCCCCTACGGAAAATAAATAAATGAATGCAAGAGAAAAATATAGATCCGAAAATCGCTGAATCGGGAATCGAACCCGAGACCTTTCGCTTGCCGGGCGACTGCTCTTCCAGCTGAGCTATTCAGATCCTTTCGATTCTATACTTTTCTCTGTTATATATATTAATCTTGGTAAACAAACGCATTTTTTAAGCCAGCGTGTATCAAATATGAGAGTTTTAACAAGGCTCTGTAATATAAATATAAATTTAACGTATAAGACGGGCAACAAGAGCCAAATCGCGGATGACAATGCGTTATCCTAACGAAACTAAATAATTTTTCGTTAGAATTAAATACCTGTGCACAAGGCACCAAATTTTTACTTGGACACGGCCAAGATATAAAATTGGAATAATCTCTACAAGAGATTTTTAATTCCATGTATCCCCTATTCCCCCTAAAGAATTAAAGTGCGAGAGAAAAATATAGATCCGAAAGTCGCAGAATCGGGAATCGAACCCGAGACCTTTCGCTTGCCGGGCGACTGCTCTTCCAACTGAGCTATTCAGATCCTTTCGATTCTATACTTTTCTCTGTTATATATATTAATGTTGGTAAATAAACGCCTTTAAGCCAGCGTGTATAAATTAAGAGTTTAACTAGGCTCTGTAATATATAAATATAAATTTAACATATATAAGATAGGCAATAAGAGCCAAATCGCGGATGACAGTGCGTTATTCTAAACGAAACTAAATTTTTTCGTTAGAATTAAATACCTGTGCACAAGGCACCAAATTTTTACTTGGACACGGCCAAGATATAAAATTGGAATAATCTCTACAAGAGATTTTTAATTCCATGTATCCCCTATTCCCCCTAAAGAATTAAAGTGCGAGAGAAAAATATAGATCCGAAAGTCGCAGAATCGGGAATCGAATCCGAGACCTTTCGCTTGCCGGGCGACTGCTCTTCCAACTGAGCTATTCAGATCCTTTCGATTCTATACTTTTCTCTGTTATATATATTAATGTTGGTAAATAAACGCCTTTAAGCCAGCGTGTATAAATTAAGAGTTTAACTAGGCTCTGTAATATATAAATATAAATTTAACATATATAAGATAGGCAATAAGAGCCAAATCGCGGATGACAGTGCGTTATTCTAAACGAAACTAAATTTTTTCGTTAGAATTAAATACCTGTGCACAAGGCACCAAATTTTTACTTGGACACGGCCAAGATATAAAATTGGAATAATCTCTACAAGAGATTTTTAATTCCATGTATCCCCTATTCCCCCTAAAGAATTAAAGTGCGAGAGAAAAATATAGATCCGAAAGTCGCAGAATCGGGAATCGAACCCGAGACCTTTCGCTTGCCGGGCGACTGCTCTTCCAACTGAGCTATTCAGATCCTTTCGATTCTATACTTTTCTCTGTTATATATATTAATGTTGGTAAATAAACGCCTTTAAGCCAGCGTGTATAAATTAAGAGTTTAACTAGGCTCTGTAATATATAAATATAAATTTAACATATATAAGATAGGCAATAAGAGCCAAATCGCGGATGACAGTGCGTTATTCTAAACGAAACTAAATTTTTTCGTTAGAATTAAAGCTCAGTTGGAAGAGCAGTCGCCCGGCAAGCGAAAGGTCTCGGGTTCGATTCCCGATTCTGCGACTTTCGGATCTATATTTTTCTCTCGCACTTTAATTCTTTAGGGGGAATAGGGGATACATGGAATTAAAAATCTCTTGTAGAGATTATTCCAATTTTATATCTTGGCCGTGTCCAAGTAAAAATTTGGTGCCTTGTGCACAGGTATTTAATTCTAACGAAAAAATTTAGTTTCGTTTAGAATAACGCACTGTCATCCGCGATTTGGCTCTTATTGCCTATCTTATATATGTTAAATTTATATTTATATATTACAGAGCCTAGTTAAACTCTTAATTTATACACGCTGGCTTAAAGGCGTTTATTTACCAACATTAATATATATAACAGAGAAAAGTATAGAATCGAAAGGATCTGAATAGCTCAGTTGGAAGAGCAGTCGCCCGGCAAGCGAAAGGTCTCGGGTTCGATTCCCGATTCTGCGACTTTCGGATCTATATTTTTCTCTCGCACTTTAATTCTTTAGGGGGAATAGGGGATACATGGAATTAAAAATCTCTTGTAGAGATTATTCCAATTTTATATCTTGGCCGTGTCCAAGTAAAAATTTGGTGCCTTGTGCACAGGTATTTAATTCTAACGAAAAAATTTAGTTTCGTTTAGAATAACGCACTGTCATCCGCGATTTGGCTCTTATTGCCTATCTTATATATGTTAAATTTATATTTAATTATTACTGTTATATTATTTGATGTTACAAATTTAAGAAATCAGTTTTCTTTCTTTTATATTTATACACTTAATATTCTAAATATTTTGTACATTTTAATTTCCTTTGCCGATTAGTATAATTAAGACCAGAAAAGTCTCGGTTTTCTCACGCGACTCTCGCGACTTTTAAATCCGGAATTCGGTTCGGATCTCGCTTTATATACACCAAAATGATAACGCACTCACCTGCGCAGTGTACAATCACGGCACTTTCTCCCGCGACGAGACCCGGAAGAAAAATCTTGACAACGGAGCGCCCACGTGTGCCCAACCTGCTCCACCTTTGAGATACATCGACTCGAGATTCGAGATAAGTCAAAGCACGCGAAACATAGGACACACGCGTACTTTACTATCGACAGATAACGCGCGGCTACTTATCGACACCCGAAATATGCACACAAAAAAGAGGAGAAAACCAATAATGACACATAACACCTGTTGCGCGATCATCACAGACTGAACAGGCCCATTAAATTCGCCATACTGAAGATCTGGCATCTCGCAAGAATCGTATTCGACGCGCCATCTCGCGTCGATTGTCCGACACTAAATGTGCTGCGAAAATACATGGTGCTTTGCATCTATGCAATTTTATTTGTTTGACGCAGACGAAAAATATATTTATTATAATATATTTATGACATATGTTATTAATATTCTGAGATTTTTTTTCTATATATTGTTTATATGTATATATTTAATATATTATTTGAAATTATTGATTGTAATAATTAATTAAAATTATACATATATAATGTATATGATTTATTAAAATTGCTTCAACAAAATAAATAATAAAATAATTAATTTAACTCACATTTTTCGACTATTCTCCGAATTACGAGGGCGACTTCCTCCACGACGCACTCGGAATCGCCGATGTTCCACAATTGAGAAATATATAACAATGGCGACGCGACCTTTGTCATACTCGACCTGCGATTTTCGCGAAAATTACGAGCCTAGTTCGCGGAATGATACTCCGACACGACGATGCGAGAGTACGAGCAGAAACACGTAAACGCCCGCTTGAAATGCGATCGACGACGCGGAAAAACTCGGAAAATTTCGCGTCGAAAGCGCGACGATAATTCCCGCGATCCGGCCTCGTAAACTTGCGCGCGCGAACTTTCGGCGGGCCCGAGCCGGAGCTGTGACGTCACGCGAATGTTAGATTGTGTTCAAAAATGTATTCAGCTAGTGTTCCTTGAATATTTATATTATTATTATTATTATTTATATTATTATTATTATTTATATTTATATAAATATAAATCAAAAATATAATATAAATAATAATAATAATAATATAAATATAAATAATAATAATATAAATATAAATTTTTACTTTTTAAAAATATTTCTATTTCAAGGGACACTATATTCAGGGTGAAGCGCTCGACCAATCAGAACGAAGAGATCCTCGGTCTCCGATTGGTCGGTCGAGTTTCGCATTTTGACAGACGGATTTCCGAACGCGATCCTGAAGTTTCTTTCGACGTAAACTGGCATAAATGTCAGCACGTAGTAGGACGGTGTATATAACCCGCGTGTAGTGCAACAGACGGAGCGATATTAAAAGTAAAATCATCGCGAAGAAAGATGGTGGTGACAGTGGCTTCCGTACGTCAACAACTCACAAATCTGGCGCATTCCGGCGGTTCACACAAAGATCAGGCCGAGAAGTAAGTTTCGTAGAAAATCGCAAATCGATTCTCCCTCGTTCGCGAATCAACTTAATTCTTCTGTTTAGGTATCGTTCAACTTTGGACATGATATTGTTGTCTTCCGGCGAAGAACTAGTCGATGCCCTGAAGACGTTTATCGAAGCAAGTATGTTATTTTTATTCTACTACTAGTGTGTCTTGAAAAAATCCTGGGAACGATTGTGACGCCTTCTCCTCGACAAAAATTCTTTTGATCTCAATTATCATAGATAGGTTATAAAAAAGATTTTTACAATTTTCTAGGAGATATTTTATGTGTGCACATGTGTCTCTAGAGATGCGGAATAGCTATTATTATCTCATCGATTTTGACAGTATTATGTAGTTTGAATTAAATACGAAAATGACAGGATTAATAATTGTTAATAATTAATTTGTTGTTAAAATTCAATCATTTTAATTATTTTTTTATAGCATTCAGGCAACGTTTGTAGTCACATGTTTTCACACATTTTTCCCAAATATACATATCTATACAGTTACCGTTGCTAAAATACATTTATATACAATTTTATTGAAATTAATGACTTATTAGCTATTCCACATAATTATCTCTATCTGTAATAGAGTTGTAATAACATATTGAGTTACTCATCATGATAATTTGACATTAAATTAACATTTTTGTGTTATATGTAATCAGTTTTCTCTCTAACATATATATATATATATATATAAAACTACTACGAAAATCTCAACTATTTAATTCGACATTACGATGCAAATATTTGACATTATTTTTATGTATATATTCCAAAATTAGAAAAACATGTATAGATAAATTTTTATTCTAGTTGTGAATGAAAATGTGAGCTTGGTGATTTCGAGGCAAGTTCTGACTGATGTTAGCAGCCGTTTATTATTTTTACCTGATGAGATATCAAAAGCTGTTTCACATTACACATTAGATAAGGTAAGTCATTATTATTCTATTGGTAATAAAATGATAAGAAAATAAATATATAATTTAAATATTATATAGAAAACATATTTCTCTCCCTTAATTAAAATCTTTTACATGTATGCAGGTTCAGCCACGTGTAATTTCCTTCGAAGAACAAGTAGCTAGTATAAGACAACACTTAGCTGATATTTATGAACGTAATCAGAATTGGCGAGAAGCTGCAAACGTTTTAGTCGGTATACCATTGGAAACAGGACAAAAGTAATGACATTTATCAATTAAGATCTACAAATATTTATACATATTTATCACATTGATGAAATTAATTCGTTTCAGGCAATATACCATTGATTACAAACTCGAGACTTATCTTAAAATTGCTAGATTATATTAGAAGATGATGATCCAGTTCAAGCTGAAGCGTTTATCAACCGAGCGTCACTTTTGCAGGTAATTTCTTGTTTTTTTTTTTTTGTAAATTTACTTACAAGCGTGATAATTATCTCATTCTTTCTGTATTGTTTGTAGGCCGAGTCTAAAAATGAACAACTACAAATCTATTATAAAGTCTGCTATGCAAGAGTACTAGATTATAGAAGAAAGTTTATAGAAGCTGCTCAAAGATACAATGAATTGTCATATAGATCTATTATTCATGAAGACGAACGCATGACTGCTCTTAGAAACGCATTAATTTGCACAGTATTAGCTTCTGCAGGTGAGTGATTCATTAAAATTAATCAGAGTTGAGTAAATTAATTATTTTATTAAATTAAAAGTTAAATTTAAAATTAATGACAAAATTAAATTAATTGTGTTAAAAGTTGCATCAATGAAAAACTAACTTATTTAAAAGTTGAGTTAAGATTAAATTAAATTAAAAGTTAATTTTTAAAAACATTAAATTAGAATGTCAATTAAAAAATTTTTAAATTTAATATTTTATTTATTAATTTTGATTTTTCTATATATATGAATGTATTTTTTTCTTTCTAACTACAATTATGAAAAAGATAAAAACTAATAGTATCTTTATTTATTTCATTATACTAAGAATTGATGTACATCATAAAAAATGATGCTTTTATTAAAATTTAATCATTATTGAAAATTGTCCAATATTTAAGATTTTATAGAAAAAATAATGTAATTCAAAAATGACAAAATATTTAACTTAGAAAAAAAGTTAATAAGTTTAAGTTTTAAAAATAATTAGTTAAAATTAAAAAGTAATTTATTTTAAATTAAACTAAGTTAAAGTTATTAACTTTTTTATTTATTTATTAAATAAAATATTTAATATTTTTCCCAAACTCTGTTTACATCATTCTTATATTACAGGACAACAGAGAAGTCGAATGTTGGCAACCCTATTCAAGGACGAACGTTGCCAGCAACTTCCGGCTTATTCGATCCTTGAGAAAATGTATCTGGATCGTATCATTCGGCGTTCGGAATTGCAAGAATTCGAAGCGTTATTGCAACCTCATCAGAAAGCATGCACCATCGATGGATTAGGCTCCACCATACTCGATCGTGCCGTCATTGAGCATAACTTGTTATCAGCTAGTAAATTGTATAACAACATTTCGTTCGAAGAATTGGGCGCATTGTTGGATATCCCACCCACTAAAGCGGAAAAGATCGCCAGCCAAATGATCACCGAAAGCAGAATGAATGGATATATCGATCAGATAGATTCTATAGTACATTTTGAAAGTGAGTTGTCTGCTGAACCTTATCTAGATATTAAAGCTCCTGACTCTTTGCCGCATGTTAGATTATGATACGTCAGAGACGAGAAAGCACTGAAAATTCTTAGATGCCATTTTTAAATATATATATATATATATATGTATATATTAATACATAAATATTTAATATGTTAAATTTTATATACATATAAAATACAATTTTATATATATATATATATATATATATATATATATTAAATATATATTAAAAATTATAAGCCATTTTTAATGAAAAGATATTTCGAAATGGTATCTAAGAATTTTTAGTGTATTTTCTCGCTTCTGACGTCACAATTCCAATATGCTTGGCGAGAAGCCAGGAGCCTGAAAAGTCTCACATCATCTCTCTCATTTCTTTTTTCTTTCTACACAGCGCGCGAAACCTTACCGACGTGGGACAAGCAAATACAATCGCTGTGTTACCAAGTAAATCAAATAATCGAAAAGATAGCTCAAACCGAACCGGAATGGATCGCGAAAGCAATGGACGATCAGATGGTGCATTAATATAGATTTTCTTTAATACGGAAGAATCATTATCGTCGCGCGAGAGTAAGAGAATTTCATTTATAATAATAATTGTATATTAATTCTATAACAGAGAATCAGAGCCAAAATAATAATCATTTATAATTAATAGCTCATTCTTCAAACGCAAATATTGTCCGATATGCACGTTGTTCATTGTATTTATTTTCTATAATATAACATCTTTCGTTAAATTTTTCAGAAGTATATCCACATTGTTTTTTAAAGGATTAATAAGTAAATATATGTTTAAGATATCTTAAACGCATATTAAAACTTTACATTCTTAAAACTTTACAATATCAGGTTCTAGTATTTCGTTAACACTTATTATTAAAAATGGAACTAATAAAAGATCAATAAAATTTATCATAACACAAATAAATGTAAGTTTATTTAAAGGAAACGTTTTAAAAAAATTACTTGTTTTCAGTCAACTCAAATAAAATCATTGTATATGATAAAAAATAATGTAAATTCTTGTAAATAAATCACATTTACATTTCGTACAATGTTCTTTACTAAACACACAAATAATTTATAATAAATAATTGTTGAGAGGAAAAACTACTATATATATATATATATATATATATATATATATCTATTTCTATTTCTATTTCATAAATATTATTCCCTATATAAAATAAAGCAGTGGAATTACAAGTAACTATACGGTTATTGTGTCTTTTGAATATATGATCATTCCTTATCACATGTGTGATAGAACAATCTTATAAGAAGGAATAATATCTAAGGCAAACATCGTAATTAAACTGGCAGTATTCCCCTTTATACACAAGAAACAAGGAAACTGTTTCTTTCTTGCAATAGGAGACTGACCTGAATAATTTTTCACAATTATAATCTGTACATGTATACATATATAATTGCATTATTATTTATATGAATTAGAAGGCATCGTATATGTTTATATAAGTGACAGTACTAAATAAAAAAATGCATATACATTTACCATCAATCATACTGTGTTAATACTATTGGGGTGTAATTGCATACAAATATACATGTTGTGCATTCTAAAATCTGATACTATCTCTATCAAAAGATAAAAGTCATACTTTGTAATGATAAATAATTGATACTTTGCTGAAATGATATAAGATATTACTAGACACTTTTTATTACATCTTTTAAATTTATAGTATTGATGAATAAATCAATACTCTATATTATTAATTCGAAAAATATATAAAAGAATAATATTGTCAATATATTATGATTATATATGAACATGTATTAGAGAAAACCAAAATTTTATATGTACAGAGTTTATTACCGAATTTTCTAAACCATGCCAGTATGTACGAGTATAAATAAGGAAAAATATCTGAAATCTATAATTGTTTTGTTATAAAGTAATATATATATATATAAGAGAACCTATAATTGCTCCATCATAAAAAGTTATAACTAAAATATGTGGCTTTAAAGAAATAATTGAATTTCCTTTTATTAGTTATACAGAATAGAATACCATGAACGATATTTAATATATATTTAATATTATATATTAATTTACTTTAATATATATATATATATATATATATATATATATATAATAATTTTTAATATATATTATATTCAATATATATATATATTTTTTTTAATTATTTATATGTAACATTATTTTATTTTATATTTATATATAATTTAACATATTAAATATTTATGTATTAATATATATGTATTTAATATATATATATTAATCTGTTTTATACAAATTGTATCTACTATATATACTTCAAAACGAAATTAAAGGTCATTCACGTAACTTCTATTGTTCAATTAGAGTCACTGTTCAGTTTCAAACTATCGATCATAAAAGCTGCGACACGAAATTGTACGATAATAAGTTCCATTACTTATAATTATTTTATATTGATATAAACGGCCAATATTTTAAGTTTTTAATGAAACAGTAATAATGTACAATTAATAAAATTATATTTATTATGTTGCATAAACAGATTAAATAAATATCGTGTATTGATTTTATATTCTATTAATTATATATAATATATAAATTATATATAATATTTTAAAACAAGCCATTATATTATTTTTATTTTATTTTTTTGTCATATTTTTGTTAAAACTTTTGAATAAAACATATTATAGGCCCCTCTTCTCTTCTGTTTATATTTTGTTTATGTATTTTTCCTTTTTTTACTCGTAAAAGTACTAGCTGAAAAATCTTGGCATATCTTGTATATATGTGTATGCATATACATATATATGTACTTGTATATACATACATATAATAAGAGAGAAGTAAAAAAAGTATAAGGTTCGCAATTAATTAATTTTTAATATTTTATTTTTACAAAAGTGCTTACACATCTCATACAGATACATCTTTTCATTACTTTTCGATACAGTCTCCTTTACTGAAACACTTGTCTAAGCATAAGATGCATGAACCAAAATTCTGTCAGTGAAGAATCTTGCATTTCTTTTTACATCCTTTGTATTTCATGCAAAAATGGCTTTGTCAAGTTGTCACTTTCACATTTTAGACAAGTATCCCAATTAAATATATTGAAAAGTAGTGTGAGAATGTATCTATGAGATATAACATTTTTTTCAAAATAAAATTATTAAGAAAATGAATTAGTGTTGGAAACCTTTATTTATACTTTTTTTACTTCCTCATATATATATATATACACATACATCTATACATATATATGTATGTATATATATATTTCTTTATATGTATATACATTTTTTATCTTTTTTATTTTAATCGAATTGAGATGATTTTTTTTCATTTTTCATATTATTGCACTAATTTCCTTTTTATGCAATTTCAATATACTGAGTGACCCATTTTAATCTATAAAAGATTTATATTTCGGAAACTATGTTGAATTGAAAAATGTGATACATTTGATACAAATAATACATTGAATATATAGGAGGAAATTTGCTAGATGATGTTGTTAAGCAAATTTAGAGATCAAAATTTTTTGAATAAAATTATTTTTTTAATAAAATTTAATAGAACGTTAAATAAGAAAAAATATAAGATACTTGAACGCTGAATTGAACGCTAGAGAAATTGAATATCTCAAAAACTTAGAGTTTCAAGATTTAAAAAAAAAAATATATTTAATCAAATTTCCTTGACGTTTTCTTATATATAGCAAACTTCTTCTCACATGTCCCTCTCAAAAATCCTGCAATCTTCCAAAAGAACAATTTTACAATTCAATAAAGTTTTCGAAATACAAACATTTGCAGATTAAAAATTGATTACTCTGATATATTATCCTGACCTTCATGTCTTTATGAAAAGGATGATCTCAGGAACTTATAGCTGTGCAAGTAAAGTATTGTAGGGACTAAATAGAACTAGCAGTACAAATTTGTCTGATCTGTGTAATTGTTATTTGACTTTATACTGTTCATCGACCAATATATCATTTGCTTATGATAATTATGTATAATATAATCTATTTTTTTTTTAACTAATTTGAAATAATGCAGGATATTTTGCGGCATCTATTTATAAGAATCAATCTGTCTATACGTACAAGTAATACTTTATTTGAAGCATACTGTCACGCCAATTTTGACACAAAGGTCACGAAATATTTATTTATATGGGATAAATTTTTTTGCTGTTTCGTAATAAGAGTTATTTTGTAATGATACGTATTTAAGCTTGAAGGTCTAATGCGACGCCATATTTGTGGCCACCAGATCCAAAGTTTTTGCCATCAATGTTTGTAGAAAGTGTCAAGGTTACACCTGTAAACAGATATTTAGTTATTTAGCATGTATTAAAATATGTATTTCTTTATATGTCAAAAAAATTAATTTTTTTAATATTTAATACTATTTAATATTTATTTTTATATATTTATTTAATAACTATAGATTGTTACATTAAAATAGAAAAAGAGAAGCAATAAAGTGGAATATATAATTTTTATTCTGCAAAAGATTATTTTCTATTTATTATGACTTAATAAATATATACGAGCTACTAATAAATTCACCAATAGCAGGAACAAAAATATATATGTTTATGTGTTTACTTTCATTTTCTACAATGACATGGCAAAAATATGAACTTATATTTATAAATATTCTGGATTAAATAAAATTGCACAAAAATTCGTACTTTATAAACCAAAAAATTCAAATATTCCTTTTTTTATATCATCTCAGAGGAAAAACTTTAAAAAAGTTATACTCACCATCCCGCAACTTATGTTGATACCCCAAACCTATTTGAAGATTAGAATTCACTTTGGCTCTAATGCTAGCATCATTATCAAGGTTGTACTTTGCTCCAATGCCAAAATGTGTAACATTATTACTGGAATTCCATGCCAAATTAATCGCTCCCTCTAAGTCTGGTTTTATCTTTTGATAAATGGAGCTACTGAAATCCTGACCATTATCCCTAAAAATATTATGTTTTAAATATTTCTATATAAATATCGCTCAAGAACTGTCTTGCAACATTACATATCTCATCTCATTATTACAAATTATATTTACACAGCAGTATGAAGAGCAAAATCTGAAGCAGTAAGTCCAAGAGCAAAGTTGTTCCTTGTAAGTTTGTTTCTTTGTGTGTCAAAGGCTATTTGGCAGCCACCAAGCCAGCCTGTAAATTAATACAAATACAATAATACGTGAATCTATAAACACTCACATGATGCAAATTCTTAACATCTGTTATATATCATAAGCTTACTTTTGTATATATTTTAGGATATTCCACATGATCCATGATAGGAAAATATATATTTGGGACAAAGAGAGGAATGGCACATATGTAGAAGAATTAAGGATCTAAATTAAAAGTATTTTCTTTCAACAATTTTGCATGAAACAAATATGAATAATTTTGTAAATTTTTTCTTTCAAAATATATTGAAATAAATTTGTAAATATTCTATTTTTTTTTATCATCTTGTATACCTTCAACATTTTTAAAGAAAATAAACTTTATGACAATAGATAAAACTTATAGAGCTATTATTTAATCCATGTAAACCTAGAAGAGAATCTCTGATATATTTTACTAATCGATATTATCAAATGCAAATAATAAAGCGTTATTTATTTCAATGTATTTTGCAAGGAAAAGATTTATACAAATTTCTCATTTCTATCATAATTCAATTTGACATCAATGAACAACCAAAAACATTGTAAGAGATGTATCTAGCATCTAAATTTACCTTGATAACCCACGACAGCTGAAGCATGAACTAGAGGTCCAGCAGACAGACTAAGATCAAAGTCAGAATTTATAGACACATTCTCATGCTTGTAGGTCGTCTTCAGTTTTCCAGTTTTGGAGCTATAAAGATGCAAAACAAAGAAAAATTGTAAATGCTATAAAAAATTATGAAGCAATTAATTTTCTTACATTACATAACAAACATATCTTACCCAGTTTGAGGAGAGAAGGTACAGCTGTAGCCAACGGTGAGACCATTGACCAATTTATTAGCGATGGAGATATCAGTCGCAAGAGTATTGTCAGTGTTCCACTTCTCGCTGAACGTTAACCCATATTCCTTGAGCTTGTACTTAGTTTCTAAGTTACCAAACACCTTTCCAGTATCCTGATTGGATACACCGCCACAGGAGAACTCCACATCAGAATTGGTCTTAGTTTTCACATCTAGTTTAAAGAGACCAAAGTGGTAGCCTTGGCCAAACACATCACGGGCGCTCTTTCCCAGATCACTGTACGTTGGCGGAGACATGTTCTGCAATGAAAATCTTTACTTAATGATTCATTATCCGTTCCATCAATGCAAATAAATATAGCTCGCAACAGATCAAAGAGTCACATAACAATACTCTATAATAAGACAACAGCTAAATTTAATTCAAGATACTTTGCCAGCTATCGCACTGTTTCTATTGATAATTATGCATACAATAATAAGCATAGTAGACATTAACCCGAATGAATTAAAACGAGATAATTAACGCGTAGAAGAGATCAATTAGCAAAAATTTCACGTACATTTATAAAAATTGCGAAAAAAAGGCGCGACTAAAAAATGACAAGTCACCTGTCACGAGGAGCCTAATGCAAACAAATCCGTGATGATAAAATTACAATCATTTCCTTATCACGACGTGCGAAATAGTATTGACCTGCCCTTAGTTAAGTATTACATAAGGCGTACACTTTGAACGAGTTACATCGCGACTACTTAAGATTCTGAGAAAAGTTGTTCTACAAATCACGTTTTGTCAAAAAAAAAAAAAAAAAATTAGCTTTTTTCGTTCATAAATTTGTCTTTCGAAAATATTACAAAATCTGGATACGACTTCGAGGGATCCGATCGGTCACGGCAGACGACATTGCGAAATCGCGATCCCGTGCCGGTTCACCGTAAGAAACTCGTTTCTCGAGGCCCCGTACAAATTTCATTTCATTTCATTCACATCCGATGACTTTGGAGAAACGCGAATATCGCCAAAAAATTACTTACAGTCTTACAAGTTAGCGGACACGACGCGAAAAATGCGCAACTCTCTTCAGGACGCAGCGACGTGGGAAGCGACGACAAAGATCGGACGAGAGACGGAAGAGGGAGAGAGAGAGAGCGAGCGGGAAGAGACGGACGACCCCAGGGACGCAGACGCGCATGCGCGCTCGCGCGCGGAAAAATGGTGCTATTTCTGCGCAACCGAAGCGGGACGTCTCGACGTTCGGACATGAAAAAAATTCAAATCGCGGGACAGCATTGTATATTTCCAAGGGAAAATGATTTCTCGAAACTCGCTTTGCTGATGGCGGAATTCGAATTCTTTCGAAGGTATTTGTCAAGATGACAATTCGTTGGTAAACGTATAAAGTATAAGCTTTCATGTCAAACTTTTTTCGATCCTTATTAATATACATATATGTATATTTTTCCTTGAATATATATATATATGTCGAAATTTTTTATTTACTATTTAATTGTCCGAGAAAAAACTGCACCTACACATATATGATGGAAATTGGCATATAAACATAGCCTAAATATGTATAGCCTCTTGGCCAAAAATATAAAGCAGCCATTTTTAATTGCAACAATAAAATAATAGAAAAATAGTTTATCAATATTGAATTTCTTACAATAAATGTTAAATTTTTTACAACTATTTTTTATTTCACAATGCTATTTTAGAGAAAAAAAACATATAATTGAAATTGTCATAAATATATAGGCTAAATATATGTATTCCCTCAGGGGCACTATTCCCTCAGGGGCACTACAGACTCATCCCTGTAGTGTACGGGTGTCGCAATCCCGAGGTACCCGAGCTGGAGTGTCTGGTGATGGATGAATGGGGCGTGATGGGCGTGCAGGCCCTAAAAAGGACTTATCCACTGCACTAGGTGAAGGAAAACACCGAAGATAACACCCGGGGGGGAGGCCCCGTTAGCTGAGTAAGGCAACCTCCTAAGGGGAAGGAAAACCCCTGACAGAAAAAACCAATTTCTTTTTTCAGAAAATGAGCAGTACGAAGAAAGAAGAGAACGTCCCGGGTTCGGGTACCGGGAACCGGCGTGGGGGGGGTGTAGGCCTGGCTCCCCCCATGTCGTCATCGAGCGACAGGTCGTCCATGGATTTGCCGGCTGGGTCTGTGGATTGGACTACGACAGTGCCGAGGAACAAGCTGGAGGACGAGGTTGATGACCAGCTAATTAAGCTGGCCATAGCCTGGGAGGACTTGGGCGTAGGTACTGATCCGAGGGATCTCGCGATCGACATCCATCGAGTCCTTCTAGACGGGAAAGTGCGTGCGCTCCGGCATCGCTTTGGCTTGTACGCGACTTTGTGCGGGTATATTCGGCCCTTCTTAAGGAAGTGCTCGCGTGGGGCCACGGAGTTCTGCTGCCAACACGAGTGTGTGGGGCAGTATGACTCCGCTGAACTCAGTGATACGGACTCTGTGGAGTGTGGTTTGGATGAGTCGTCGAGCGACTCCTCGCAGCTCCTCCCCTCTCCTGAAAAGTTGAGGGGAAATAGTAGTAATGAGGAGATGGAGGTCGGTGAACCGTCCTTCGTTACGATCTCGTCACCGAGCTCCCCCGAAGCCAAGGTGGGCAGACGGGATAGAGACGATTCGTGGGTTCCGGATGACATGAGGCTGATCACTGGCAGAAAGCAGTATCCACGGAAGGCAGCGCAGGGTGGGTCTGCCAAGCGCAAAAGAGGACGACCGATTAAAACGGATGAGTACTCGAACCTTGCCCAGGAGAGGGAGCGCCTTAATGCCGCTGAAAGAGAGGCATTAAGGCTTGAGTACGCGCGAAGGGTGCTGGACCCTTCTTTTGGTCCAACCCTTTCTGCTGTGGGTTCGGAGAACGCATCCACAGATGCGATGTTCGCTAAGGAGCTCCAGAGTATAACCACTCTGGAGCTCCGGCGATTAGGAGAGACCTTCGTCACACAAGTGGAGAGGGTGGCTGGGCAGCCGGGCCTTGTGGAGTGCATGGCTGAGACGCTCCGAGCCTCCTCGAGGAAGCTGGGTGGCGTTATTAACGAAGTAGTTAGTCGCACATCCAATGTCGACCCAAAAACGGATGCGCTGAGAAGCGAGAACCAGGGCCTTAGGGGTCAGATTTCGGCTCTGGAAAGGGAGGTCGATCGTTTGTCCGGGGAGCTTAGCTTCATGCGCTCAGTGCTCCCGGAATTTGATGATTACTTGGTTGGAAAAAAGAGGGCGGGAAAGAGGCCCCTACCATCTTCCTCGGAGGGGTCTCCGCAGAGTGCGTTGGCGATCTTGACGGCTCCTATGGTGGAAGATCGCCCAATTATGGAGTCCGACTTGTCGTCCCTTCTTGATCGTCGCTTCGGTGACTTGAGGGACGACATGTCGGTTGCTGTTAGGGCTGCCGTTAGGGCGGAACTCGCGGGGCGGGCTGGGGCCTCCTCCTCTTTGGAGGAGGTGGTTCCCATGCGTGAGCCGCCCGTGAAGAGTAGTGGTGGCGCTATTGCGTCTAGGGTCTGCCCCTTGCCTAGGGGCTCTGTCGCCTCCGCCTCGGTGGAGGTTTTGGCGGATGCCTCTGTCCATGGGGTGGTCAAAGGGGGTAAACGTCGTCGCGGTCGCGGAAAAGGACGGCAAATTGTGAGGGTGAAGGGACTGTCCTTGGGTGCCCCCTCTATGGAGGGTAGGGGGACTCAAAACTCCCTTTCTTCTGGGAGGAAAAAGATAAAGAGAAGCCGTATTCCCCCCCCCCCTCTTCTTCGTCGGTGATTTCACTGACGGTTGGGGGATGAAGAAGGATAGAGAAAGGACTTATGCCTCGGTTCTGTCCGAGGCTAAGTCCAAAATTGATATTAAGGCGATGGAAATTAGCTCCATGCGCATGCGCAGAGGAGCTACGGGCAGCATTTTGTTGACTCTCCCGGGTCGTGACTCAGCCTTGAAGGCGGATGCACTTGCCTCAAGGCTTAGAGAGGTGCTCCCTCTTTCAGGGGGGGTTAGAGTTGGTCGTCCTTCCCGGATGGAGGACGTTCGGTTGAGGGGTCAGATGTTCTCTGTTAGGAAATCTGAGATCTTGGAAGAAGTTGCCCTAGTTGGGGGTTGCGAGGTCGAGGACCTTAGGCCTGGAGAGATCCGACTGTTTCCAAAGTCGTGCGTGGGGACAATTTGGATACGCTGCCCCGCTGGAGTGGCGCGTAGGCTTGTGGCGGCGAAGAGGTTGTCGATTGGGGGGGGCTGGGCGACGTTGGATGTTATCCATCTGGCTCGTCGCCCCCTTCAGTGTTATCGGTGCCATGACTTTGGCCATACGGCCAATTGTTGTGGCGCTGAGGTGGATCGCAGCAGCCTCTGTTATAGGTGCGGTGGCCCGGGGCATAAGGCAGTCAGTTGCGTGGCGTCGCCCCGTTGCTATTCATGTGCGTCGAGGGGGAAGCCTGCTGGGCATAGAGTCGGGTCAGCGTCTTGCGCTCGAGTTCGTGTGCCTCCTAAGAGGAGCGGGGGGGGCACTCTTGCTGCTGAACGCGCGCAGTCTCCGGGGCGCCCCGATGGGGGGCCTGCGAGCCCGGAGTGGACGGGGTGGACTGTGGCGGGGGCGGGGGAAGTCGCGGAGAGGCGGCTCCCCCGTGCCGGGCTGCAGTTCTGCCCCCGATGTTTAGTGTCGGTTTTGTCCTTTGTTGTCGTAGTGAGTAGCGGTGGGTGCGAGGAGTTCTGGGGAGGTTGCCGAAAGGTGACTCCGTGGTCTCCCTGCCCCGCCAGGTTTATGTTGTAGGTTGCGGCGATGGGTGATGGAGCGCCGGGGAGGTTGCCGAGAGGTGACTCTGCGGCCTCTTCACCCGCGCCAAGTTTATGTAAGTCTTTGTTTTGTTTGTCTTTCGTTCATAGGTGGGGGTAACAACCCTCCCACCTTTATTGTGGTCGGCAATAGTGCCTCAATGTTGGCTCCTAGAGGGCTGGGCCTGCGGCCCTTACTTGGTTTATGTTGTGGACGTGTATATGTTTGTCCACGTATAGTTGGTGACGTCTTGTGACGTTAAGTGTGGGGTGGACGGCTGCGGCCGTCTCACTGACCGGGTTGGCAGAGAGAGGGGTGGGGGCCCCGCTCTCATTGCACGTCGACCCTGGGAAGTCCGGGGGGGGCTAGTAGCCCGGCTCCCCTCGATGCCTTTCGGGGCAAGGGATGTCCTCTCCGGGGGGATACCTGTAGTATCCTCTCGGGGGATGTGTCCTTCCTAAAGGACGCCGGTCGGGTGTCCACCGTGAAGTTATGCTTACGCGGTTCCGCGGTGGACATAACCCATATGACCAGGGGCTTCAGTCAGGTTTTAGGTCGGTCCCCCGCCCGATAGTCCCTCGGGATACTACGGGCGGGAATCCACCACAAAGCCTCCTGACCCTCCTCAGGGGTCAGGACGGCGAAGTTTGGTTTAGGCAAATTTCCTGACTATAAAAAAAAAAAAAAAAAAAAAAATATATGTATAGCATCTTGGCCAACAATATGAAAAGCATCTATTCTTAATTGCAATAATAATTAAAATAATATAGAATTGTGAAATAAAGAATGAATTCTCAAAATACATTTTTTATTTTACACTATTTTATTGTTTAATCATTATTGCAATTAAGAATAATGAGTGCTTTATCTTTTGATTAAGGCTGTATATATATGTTTTGAAAAAATAATGTCTATGTATGTAAAATATATATAATAACATAAATAAAATATGTGTCTATATATGTACAAGAAAAATAAAAGAAAAATATGATTGAAAAAATAATAAAAATATAAATAATTTTTTTTTATAACAAACAAAATAAAATTTGAAATAAGAAAAACATTGTTTACATGATTATATGTATAAATTTTTATATAGGTAATTTTTTTTCTCGAATATATATCTTGCAATGTAAATTTATTCACTTTTTCTAAAATGTGAAAATTATTGTTTGAATTACTTTTCTAATTTAACGGACAGATAAATGATATATAAAAAAAGAACAAAATATATAATGATTTTCCATATAATTTTATATTTTTATGTACAAACATTTTCATATATAAACAATATTTTTCAGATGTAAAGATGAATATAAAGATAGCTGTAATCACATCATCATCATCTCAGAATCATCTCGCAATTAAAACGTTAATAGAACAACAAGGCAGAATGCATGACATTACAGTTGCATATAATTATGGAGCAGAATGGTGGGAGCTTTAGAGCTCCAAAAATATACATCTGCAACATGGTCAACGACGACGAAGAACGTCCTGATCACAACGTATCCGAAGCCGGTGCAAATCACCGATATAATTCAACTTATACCATTGGTGGAGCATTTGCATGTAGTATTTTTAATAGAAATAGAAGGTATAAAGCGTAGTAAGCTCGAGCTTCGGCTCAGTCCAGAAACAGATCTCCAATCAGCATCGTCATCGCTTATTGACGAGGAATAAAAAAATAAAAGTCGAGAAAAACGCTCGAGCAACTGAACATGTCGCAAAAATCATCGGTATGTCATCGATAATTTTAATTTTTTTTTTATATATATATTTTAATTATTATATATATTCACGCACACGAGAAAATTCGAGTAATTTCCTTAAATTAATATTCAAATATAATTTCAGGAAGGCGACGTATCTGCGGAAGGAGCTACATCACGAGCATACAAGATACTTCAAAATGATCAAGTTGGTAGGTGAGTGAAGATGTTAAATTGTTCAGAATCAAATATGAGAGAAATCTATGAGCAATACTTATATAGGAAAAATGGAATTTCTTAATAAAATTGCATAACGCACTTAATAAATATTGCAAAGTTATAATTAAAAATAAATCATGGTATACGCGATTTATGCAGCATAAAAATGATTTTAAATATATAAAATATAGAATATAGAATTGCAATCAACAACAAAAAATTTTAAAGTGGAATAAATCCACAGTACATTAAATGTTATTAATAAATAATTAGTAATATATATTATAATATATTATAAATATTTTATAAATAGTAAATATATTATAAGTTATAAATATTTATAAGTTAATAAAGGACAAAATAGATAGAAACATAAATCACATAGTGAAAATGCCTCAACGTGCCAAGAGATGATTATTTTCGGCGATCGAAAAATAGATGTTTTATATTCTAATTAGAGCGTTTATTCGAACAAAAAAATTTTCAGGTACATGGTTGCGAGTAGAGAATTGCAGGTCGGCGAGGAAATCGTGACGGAAATGCCCTTCGTCATCGGACCTAAGTCATGCACTTATCCCTTGTGTCTCTCTTGCTACACACCTTGGCCGCCTAGTCCGGATAACAAACCGCTCTGCTCCAAGTGCAAATGGCCCGTTTGCAATCAAGAATGCGAGAATTCTCCGCAGCATAAAGATTATGAGTGCCCAGTGAGTGCGACCATTTTTTAAGGACCTTGTTTCCAATAAATTCTGTAGGTTGATCTCTGAAATGTGCATTTTTAATATGTAAAAGTGGAGATTACACATTACAAAAAGTTATGTATAATGTGTAGTATATATTTTCATGCTTTTTAAAGTATAAGTTTAATATAAATTTTAATTCTTAGTAAATTAATTCATTAATAAATTTAATGTTAATTATTTATTGAATTTAACACTTCTCTTTATATATTTACGCCACTATAACCATTGCATTCATTTTTTTTAACATAGACTTAAGATGCTTTGGCATAATTATTTTAAATGTTTATTTCTCCTTCTAAATTGTGTTTTTACTTAAGAATCAATATTCTTCGATAGGTGTTTATGCAGGCGGATGAAAAGTTCAACGTGGACGCCGCACTATTGGATGGGAACGATGGTGTTCCGCAATTAGAGTGTATAACACCGTTAAGATTCCTATTGGAGTCGGAAAGGAATGTCGACAAGTGGAACGAAGAAGTAAAGGATATGGAGGCGCATAATAAGATAAGGTGTGAAAAAACGCAGTGGAAGTCAGATCGCATTAACATCGTGGATTATTTGAGGAACCGACTCAAGCTCGATAGGTATATATGCATTAATATATATTTTTATATTAATATATATTTTATTTTAAAATATATTTTTATATTTATTAATATATTTTTATTATATATGTTAATTATATATTTTATTATATATGTATATTATATATGTATATTTATTAAACTATTATATTTATTAAACTGTATTGCGTCGACATACAATTATTCGATATGGAACCTCAAAGGGAATTATATTTGTAGATTTTCGGAAGAACGCATACAAACAGCGTGCGGAATTTTGGACATTAACACCTTTGAAGTCCGAACGGCGAAGGGATACAGCGCCCGAGGTCTTTATCCAAGTGTAGCTATGATGAATCACTCGTGCGTCTCAAACACGTCTCACAGTATATCACCGATCGATTATAGGTATTATTAACTCGATTCGTAGTGATCGTTTTACATATGAGATAAAAATATAAAATAAATAATAATCCTTAAGGTTGCCAGTAATAATTAATAAAAAACCACTCCTCAATGTTTAAAGTCGACCAGACTGGCAATAATTTATTATAAATAATTATTTGAAATACAACAACGTTTCGGCTGTCATTGCAGCCCTTTTCAAGTACATCAAATTTAAAACAGTAAATCAACTTCTATGCAAACTACCGACAATGTTAACGCTTGTTTTGATGAACAATGCAAGACTGACAGAAGTAAGCACATATTAAATAGATGTTAACTGTTCACAAGAATCTTAGTCACTCTTGAGTGACTAAGATTCTTGTGAACAGTTAAGTCACTCTTGAGTGACTAAGATTCTTGTGAACAGTTAAGTCACTCTTGAGTGACTAAGATTCTTGTGAACAGTTAACATCTATTTAATATGTGCTTACTTCTGTCAGTCTTGCATTGTTCATCAAAACAAGCGTTAACATTGTCGGTAGTTTGCATAGAAGTTGATTTACTGTTTTAAATTTGATGTACTTGAAAAGGGCTGCAATGACAGCCGAAACGTTGTTGTATTTCAAATAATTATTTATAATAAATTATTGCCAGTCTGGTCGACTTTAACATTGAGGAGTGGTTTTTATAAAAATATAAAACCTTACTGTGTTACATTACAAATAGCGATAAAATGTTTTTAAGAAATTATGAAATTAATAAGGCTCTCGTCTGTCAAACAATTGAGAATTTTTCGAGAACAAATAAGAGCTAGATGATCTGTCAATAAATCATTAATTTTTCTTTTAAACTGAATTGTGCACAATGCACATATTTATATTTATATTATATTTATATTTATACAGGGTTTGTCCGGAAAGTAATGCGTCGCATTTTTTTAAAAAAGAATTTATTGATCGCATAGGTAAAACAACTTAAAATTGTTCGAAGTATGACCCTTCTGCGTCAATACATTTTTGCCAACGCGATTTCCATGCGTCATAAGATTTCTGGAACTCCTTGACTGGGATGCTGTTCAGGGAGGCCGTCGAAGTAGCTTGTACGTTGTCAACCGACTCGAGCTGTTGTCCTTTGAGCTCCCTTTTCAGCCGAGGAAATAAAAAAAAGTCCGCCGGGGCCAAGATAACGTTGTTCAGGAAATTGGGATTATCTGCACAGAGTTGCTTGAGTTCTTCACAAACTTCCACTCGGTGTTGCTTTTGCGCATCGGTCAACACTCTGGGCACAAGTTTTGCGCAAATCTTCCGCATGGCCAAGTCTTCCGATACAATCTCGTGAACAATCGTTTTCGGCAAGTTCAATAATTCCGACATTAAGCGAACATTCATTCGACGGTCTGAATTCAATAATTGGCGCACACGAGTCACATTGTCGTCCGTTCGCGATGTTGACGGGCGTCCTGCGCGGGCCTCGTCGGCGACCTCCTTCCGACCTTCTCTAAACATCTTGTGCCATCTGTTTGACTGCGATTTGGAAAGGCAATCGTCCCCGAAAACTTTCTTGAGCATTTCAAAAGTTTCCAGCGGCGTCTTGTCCAGCTTCACGCAAAACTTTATCGCATAGCGTTGCTCTATCGTTCTCTCCATCACAAGTTCGACGCGACCACTAAGCAGAGGTTCACAGAATAAGCCGTCCTAACCCTCCAAGCGCATGGAAACAATTGAGCGACCTACCGTTGGAAAGCTAAGGGTACCCCCCTTCCTCCCCAACCGGTCCCATCGCTCTGCGATGTATAGTCGCGTCACAAAAAAATGCGACGCATTACTTTCCGGACAAACCCTGTATATTTATGTTTTTCTTGATGCAATATCAAGTAATTAAATGAAAATCTCAAATTGAAATCTATTTAATTACTTGTCCTTGCATCAAGAAAAACATGTGTTCTGCACAACGATTCAGTTAAAAGAAAAATTAATTTTCCATTCTAGCTTTTACTTGTTAGTCAGGAAAATTTTAAAGTTTTTTTTTCAGCGATATTATTTTAACGTATTATCTCAACACAACTACATCTTCTCATTTGATTATTACGCTCACGCATGTGCTCCTTCCTCAATAATTCGTACACCGTGTACGAACCCCAGGAAATCTCACGAGGTTTATTATGTTGATGAGGAATACGCTTGTGTATTATAACATATGAAAGCAGTAATTATAATATACTCGATTTTTGCACGTCTACACTACAGGATACGACTGCGTACCACGCTTAAGGTTTCTACGGGTGGTGAACTTTACGGAAGTTACACGCACTCATTACTCCCGACATTGCTGCGGAGGGAACACTTACTCCAAGTCAAATATTTTGCATGCGCGTGCCTGCGATGTTCGGATCCCACAGAATTAGGCACCCACATGTCCTCTCTTAAATGCAACAAATGTGACAACGGAATTATCCTGCCATTGGATTCTCTAGGTATCACTATCACTTAATACATATATTGAAGATATATATATATATATATATATATATATCTCTCTTTCATGAATCGCATCGGCTCCGTCAGCTCCACTGATAGCTTCAGCGGCGTCTACTTCTGCTTGAATAATTCGAAAAACTTTTCGCACCGCTTGTCCGTTTGTTGAAAACTCGCAATGTGTACAGTTCCACGTACTTTCCGAATCTAAAAGATATATCATATACTCTATATATATTATATAATCACTATTTTATATTTTTAATAAATTAGAAGCTGCATTAACAGTAAATGTTACATTTTAGCCAAGAAAATTGATATAATCTCGATGAATTAATTTTTTATGCAATTACGCGAGAAAGAATTTTGCGTCAATTTTTATGTATTTATTCGAGAATGAATAAACATAAATAAATTTATTAACCGTTATACGCACACGATAACATATCTAGAGCAAAACTCTCAAAATTGGATTAGTTTTCAATCTTTAATTTATGCTTGATCACTATAACTTAAAAATATAAGATAAAATATAAGAATTTGTATATATATATATATATTTTTTCATATATATATATATATATATATATATATATATATATGAAAAAATATATATATATATATACAAAATTCTTATATTTTATCTTATATTTTAAGTTATAGTGATCAAGCATAAATTAAAGATTGAAAACTAATCCAATTTTGAGAGTTTTGCTCTAGATATGTTATCGTGTGCGTATAACGGTTAATAAATTTATTTATGTTTATTCATTCTCGAATAAATACATAAAAATTGACGCAAAATTCTTTCTCGCGTAATTGCATAAAAAATTAATTCATCGAGATTATATCAATTTTCTTGGCTAAAATGTAACATTTACTGTTAATGCAGCTTCTAATTTATTAAAAATATAAAATAGTGATTATATAATATATATAGAGTATATGATATATCTTTTAGATTCGGAAAGTACGTGGAACTGTACACATTGCGAGTTTTCAACAAACGGACAAGCGGTGCGAAAAGTTTTTCGAATTATTCAAGCAGAAGTAGACGCCGCTGAAGCTATCAGTGGAGCTGACGGAGCCGATGCGATTCATGAAAGAGAGACTGTTATGAAAAATATCGATCAGTTTTACATCCTCGTCACGCCTTTCTTACGATGTTAAGGTATGATGCAGTTGCAATTGAAAAATTAACTCTAGTAATAATATATTGAATCAATTTTACTCTTCAGAGAGATCGGTTTTTATCTTTAAGTAAATTTAATTTAATATTGTTTCTCCAAATCGTCCAAATTCGTACTGAAATATTCTAATATTATATTAACGAATTATTTATTAGATAGCTATTCTGATTGTAAAGATATAGATGATTTAATTATTCATATATATATATGTATAATATGAGATACATAATAAAATGTAAATAGTATGTAATTATAAAAATATATAAAATATGTACATATATATTTTCTCTTATATAATTTGGCTGTATGTACAGAAAAAAATAATAAGTAGAATAATTTTCGCTTCATTTTTTAAAAAAGTGAGAAAATTTGCCATAATTATATACTTTATATATGATTGATTGTAATGTTGTTTTATTACAAAAATAATGCAAAAATTATTCTTTTTATTATTTTTTCTGTACAAATATATACAGACGTCAAAAATTATACAAATGAAAGAAAACCATTTTATATATATATGTATATTCTCGTACATTTTTATTTTTCACACTTTCATACTATTAAAAAATCGTGAAATATTATATATGGTGTATATATATATATCTTTTCTAGGCATTCATTGACTCAAATGTACGGCCGAGTTGAGGAATATTTGCTGGACGATTTGCCGAATGTTGTACTAGAGCACAAAGTTGACTTGTGTCGTTTATTGCTTCAAGTATTGGACGTTGTGGAGCCTGGATACACACGCGTAAGAGGTGCGCACTTCTTTTATTAAATAAATAAGTTCCTTTTTCGTTTTCAAAAAACGTAAAAGAGACATATGAAAATAATTCTATCGTCTTTTCGACAGGCATGACGTTATACGAGTTGCACGCGCCTTTACTTTTCCTAGCGAAAGGGCAATGGAATGCTGGTGTCATTGACGAGGCCACACTAAAATCGAAAATGACTGAAGCCGCGACTATTTTAAAGGAAGCTGCCGCAATATTAACTTTGGAGCTACCGGAGACGGCTGAAGGACAAATAGGACTCGTCGCAAAAGAATCTCTTGTTCAGCTGAAACAGTCTATAAATAACTTATAAATGAATTATTCTAAAGATTTCTTATTTGTGTTGAGATATTAATAAATATCTCGATATAAATATATATATCGAAATATTTATTTATATAGGTATATATATCAGAGTTGGGTAAGTTAATGATTTTTTAAAACTAAGTAAAGTTAAAGTTAGTTGTTTATAAAATTAATTTAGTTAAATTAAAAGTTGCAAAAAATTAATTCAGTTAAAGTTAAGTTAAGATTAAATTAACTGAAGTTAAATCAAAAGTTGATTTTTAAAAACATTATATTAAATTAGAATTTTGTTTGTTAATTGTTTTAAAATTTATAATAACAAATAACAAATAAATTTAACTTAGTTAAAAAAATTTAACTTAGGAAAAAATTAATAAATTTAAAGTCAAAAATAACTAATTAAAGTTAAAAATATTAATACATTTTAAATTAACTAAGCTAACGATAAGTTAAAAGTTATTAACTTTTTAACTAATTAACTAGTTTTATTACCCAACATGATATTATATATATATATATATATATATATATATATATATATATATATATATACACACACGATACGTTGCTGTTATTTGTTAACTAATAACCAGAATTTTGCAGAGCATTTATAAATCGAAAATATTTTTGCCTTGCAAAAATTTGCATAGATGATTATATGAGAAAATATATACTGTGTATTATTTATTCTTATGAAAATAGATGTGAAATATATAAAAATTCGACAAACTATATGAGAAACATATCTTTGACGTACATATCACATAAAACATTTGAATATTTCTTGAAGATATATTATTATTATATAAATATTTATTTTTAATTAAACTTATTAATTAAATCATTAATATTAATATAATAGATATTTTTTATTAAACTTTTTATTAATAATTTTCTCATATGATGTAAAACGTCTTGTAAAACTCTCTTAAAAATGTGTAAATATACAGGAGAGAAATACGTCCGACATTCTGAAAATATCTTTAAATCTATAACAAAAATATATATATACACTGTGTGTGCGTAATGATTGATGATGATTAATATTATATCTCAAATTCTTGATATGTAATCGCCTCGAGATATCTGAAAATATGATACTTCCGGGGAGGGGCGATATCTTGACGGAATGATAGCGATATATCTCTGCTTTATCATGTAATTAAATCCGTACGTAATCAGGTCGAAAAGTGTAACATATATATACAGAGATCGACAATGTTGTTTGCGTTTGTAACTCTCTGCCAAGGTTCTACATTTCTTACTCTCTGTATCAGCGGATTGCGGATTGCGCGCAATGTCACAAGCGGTGTCTAATAATAATACAACACATCGCATGTGCATCGCCGGTTCGTGTTACTGATGCGTTCGCTTCCAACAAATGCCAGTTACCGGTGCCAGTTTGCAACAATCGCAAATCCGAAGGAAGTAATCTTATTTAATAGATATTATGGCGCCCACCTGCCCGAAATATAAGATCGCGCATTCGAAAAAACTTGGAAGGTAGTTGTATATTTTAGCATAATTTTGCGATTTGTTCATCTCTTTGTACATCAGTGACATATTGTAAAAGGAAGAGAGGGATTCGGCCCTTTCCCGAAATCCAACCCTCTAATAATAAATTGTTAATATTTTTGCGTTTATAGAGCACTTTTTTATTAAGTAAGTGAAATTAGAGTCCAGTTGCTTAATGCTAAGTATAAATTTGATTTAAGTGCTCGTTCAGAGTTCCAGTTTTCCTCAAAGCAAAATCCTAAATACGTCACTGTTGTACACTTATATGTAGCAGTTATTGCATAATCAGATTTTAACAAAACGAGTATACTTGAAAATCTTCAAAAATATATTCTTATTTATAGGTGCTCTTTACTTATTGCTATTTAGCGAATAAATCACTAATTATTAAAGTTTTAATAAGAATAATAGAATAAAAATAGAGACGAAAGAGTAGATTTATACGATTTATTTTGAAAGTAAAAATTTAATGTTTTTTAAAGCCAAACAAGTATAAATCAGCGCAAGAAAAAAATCTATATAATAATTAAATATAAATACAATATATCAATATATTTATAAAAATATGTTCATATATATATATTTTCTTTCTTTTAAATAATTTTTATCCATATATACAGGAAAAATAATTTTTGTATTCATTTTAGAATAAATAAATTGCTTGTATATACAATCATGTATAAAAATATAAAATTATATGTAATTATTATTTTTTTATTGTTTTTAACATAAATAAACAGAGTATATAAGAGAAAGAGAACATATATGGACATATTCTGTACAAATTAATATATGTATAATTATATAGTAATGATTTATTATATATTAATTATATAGAAATTTTTTCGACTTTTAAGAACTATATCTTTTATGTTGTTATAAGATATCTCTCAACGACTAAAAACATAGCACCGGGGGAAGTCATAATTCGAGAGAATCCGATTGCAGTCGGTCCGATGACATATAACAAAAATTACTGTTTCTGCTTCGCGTGTTTGCGCTCGTTGCCAAAAATCGGTGCAGGAAATCGGTATACTTGTTCCAGATGTAACTTTGCACCACTGTGTAGTATTGCATGCGAGGTAACGAGTTACAAAATCAGTGGTTTTCAGAGCTTCATCCTTGAAAAAAAACGCGAAGAGAAACAGAACATTCGCACTTTAAAGAGACAGTAAAAATTGATAACCGCGCGGAAACACTTTGTTTAATTATATAAGAATGAAGACCTTTGAAAACTGCTGTGTATTACATAAATTTGTATCGTTTCAAAATAGTGCTTTGAATTTTTTCTCTTTTTATTTCCTATTTTTAAAGGTTCGAACGAATCATCATGCAGATGACGAATGTCAAATATTTAGAGACAATCAAGAACTATTGGCGAAAATTGGAATTGACAACACGACGAAAATTTTGCTCGTCTTGCGATTATGGCTAACAAAATACAGAGATCCAGCTATATGGGAAAAAATAAATCATGTGGAGGCTCATCTAGATAAAAGGATCGGGACTTCTGTCTGGAAGGAAAGGGAGGTTGATGTTGTAAATGTGAGTTTCATGTAAATTAAAATGTTTATTAGTTAAAATATACTTAAGAAGACGTTTTTTTTAATCTAATTTACTCTCTATGCAAAAGAGAAATAGAGATGATCGCCATATAAATATCTTCGAAATATTTTGAAGAGAAAAAATATTTTTTTAAATATAATATTGTCAGATATATATATATTTCTTCCGTTTTTTTTAAAGCATCAATAATATTTCGTTGTTTTTTAGCTGATGATTCAGCTTGCATATGTATACAATATATTTTTTTAATACACTATATTATTATTATACTTTTTATTTATTATTATTATATTTTTAGCTGGTTTTTGCATTTGCAAGGTGAATCTCAGCTGAAAAATATACTATAACAATAATAATACTATAAAAATATACTATAATATATAATAAACCATTAAAAATATACTATAATATAAATATGTATAGGTGATTCGAAAACTTCGCATGCCTACGGAGACTGAGCCACCAGGTGCCGAATTGATACAGAAATTATGCGGCATCCTAGATGTAAATGCCTTCGAATTGCGATCTCCTAGCGTTCTGGAGGGTCTCTTTCTTCGGGGTTTATACCTCGAGGCGATGCTGATGGCTCACGATTGCAGGGGCAATACTTATCTCACCGTGGATGACAATTATCAGCTGACCATTTACGCGAGTGTCCCAATTAAGCAAGACGAGCCTATTCTTTTCAATTATACCTCGTCACTACTGGTCAGTAAATAATATGAATTTGAAAATTATTAATTTAACGTATAAGACGGGCAACAAGAGCCAAATCGCGGATGACAATGCGTTATCCTAACGAAACTAAATAATTTTCCGTTAGAATTAAATACGGTGCACAAGGCACCAAATTTTACTTGGACACGGCCAAGATTTTAAAATATGAAATAATCTCATATTTGAGATTTAATTTCAATACCCCCTTAACCCCCTACGGAAAATAAATAAATGAATGCAAGAGAAAAATATAGATCCGAAAATCGCTTCCCGATTCAGCGATTTTCGGATCTATATTTTTCTCTTGCATTCATTTATTTATTTTCCGTAGGGGGGTTAAAGGGGGTATTGAAATTAAATCTCAAATATGAGATTATTTCATATTTTAAAATCTTGGCCGTGTCCAAGTAAAATTTGGTGCCTTGTGCACCGGTATTTAATTCTAACGGAAAATTATTTAGTTTCGTTAGGATAACGCATTGTCATCCGCGATTTGGCTCTTGTTGCCCGTCTTATACGTTAAATTTATATTTATATTACAGAGCCTTGTTAAAACTCTTATATTGAAAATTATTATTTTGAATTTTCCCTGAATATAATTTTGCGTCAATATTGAATCAAACGATTTTTTTTCTTATGTTAGTGATATATTTTTCTCGTTGCTTTCGTTTCTAAAAGAAAAAAGAATAATCACTAATGACGATTAAGAAGTCATTAATATTACATTAAGTCATTATATATATAATTTTATTATTATATAATAATAATTTAAAAATAACAATAGTTACAGTATATAACAAAATCATATATATATAATAGAATAAATAATAAAATTAAATATAAAATAGATATAATAAAAATTATATATTAATAAAAGTATATATAATAGAATGATATAATCATTTTTATTTTATGCAATATCAGAGTACAGTCGAGAGAAGAGAGCATCTTCGAGAGGGAAAATATTTCGAGTGCGAGTGTCCTTTGTGCGATGATCCTTACGAATTGCAATCGCATTTGAGCAGCGTGCTATGCCCGCGCTGTAAAGAAGGATTCGTGGGAATGCAAAATGCCTCTGTCATAGCACCATATGAGAAAACTAGTCGATGGCAATGCCAGATGTGCAGGAAATTTTACAGCGGCCGTCTTATCAGAGCTACGTTGAACATATGCAAAACACTCGTCGACGAGTGCGAGGATGTCGATATAAAAGTTCGCAAAATATATATTTTTATATACATATATATAATATACATATTTATAAATTTTTTTCTCTATTTAATTTTAACGACGTAATATTTTTTTAGACTATCGACGACTTGCTGAAGAGATTATCCCGATCCTTGCATACCAATCATTTCCTCATGCTAGCATTAAAGCAGAAATTATTGACGGCGTGTAGGAGAGAGATGACTTCATTCAATCCTCGGAAAAAGATTGTGCAAAAGATGCTGAATACGTGCAAGCAAGTCTACGATGTTCTGGATATAGTAGAGCCTGGCATATCACGTTCAAAAGGTTTTTTTTTCATATGCTGCATCTAAAAATATATTTTTTACGTCGCAAGATTGTGAGAGTATTTGTCAAATATTACCACAAATATTGATTTTAGGCATAATGTTGTATGAAATACATTTGCCTATGATAATATTGGCGAATCAATCTTATTCCGCCCGTGAGATCTCGTCGGAGCAGTTGGTCTGCCAGTTGGAAGAGGCCCGTGATCTTTTGAAGAAAGCTCTGACTATGCTTCTTTTGGAACCGGTGACGACTCCGGAGGGAAAATTAGCTAAGAGAGCACTCGAGGAATTACGTACGCTAAATCAAAATATAAGTGACGTAAAATCTTTACCGCCGGAAGAGCCAAAGGTCCATGCGCGTAAAGCAAAAGAACAGCGTAAAAAAAAGATCAAATAGCAACGAGCTTTTTTTAAATTTGTATGGAAATGTAGATTTCTAGAAAATGCAATTTTTTTTGCAATGCGCCATTATCATCATATATGCATTACATTGTGGAACAAAGAATTCGTATCATCTTGGATTTGTGATATGTTGTTTTTTTATTCTTCAATTATTAGGTTTGCAAAACACGCAACGTTACACAAATTTCGTAATTTAACAAATTGAACATTTACTTATTATTTTTCGAATCTATAATTTTTATCAATGCAAACCCGATTTTTTTAATTGATAAACAATCTCGTTTAATTAATAAACTAACAAATTACTTAATAACTGTACTTTATACAACTTGTAATAGTGTTAAAAAATAACAGATATTGTAATGGCTTATTTTTTGAATAATACATGCACACACACGCACACATTTTAAAAGGAAATAAAGAAACAAGTTGTCAATTATACATCTTTATGTGAAAAAAATATTTACAGTTTTGTAAATAGAAAATTGCAAGTTAATAAACACAAATTACTTCAAAATTTCAAAAGAAAAAAAGCCATAACTTATACATATATTTCTTTTTCTTCTTTATTCCGATTCGGATTGAGATTTTTCTTTACGCACACAATTTATTGTTATTTATTATATTTATTATATAATTATATAATATCACAATGCTGTATTATCTTGTATTTTTGCAAACTATTTTTCTTTGTAATATATAAGTAATATAACAATAAATAAATAAAATGAAAACAGCAGATTATTATTCATATAAGATGAACCTCAGTACATATTTAATGAATTTATATACATTTTAATTTCACACAATTTAAAGAAAAAAGTAACACTCCGGATTCCTAGAATTACGTATACTGTATTTATACATTATAAATTAAAAAGTGTGATCGACTACAGAATTTTTAAAACTGCAATTTGTCAAAATATGTATCAGAATAAGAGTATCCATTTGAAAAAATAAATCAATTCGTTTTATTCCATATATTAATAACCAAGAAAGTCGAGTACGAGTCATTATCCAGTTCTTATAATTTTTTCTCAATATTTGTACTGGGGTCAAAACTGGCATCATTCAAGCAGCCGCCGTACGAGAACATTTTTGGAATGTCTTGTCCATAATATATCTTCGCGTTGCGCGCTAATGCCTCGTACTTTTTGAGCTCTAAAAATTCTTTAGATAAAAGTAGTGTATTCGCCTCAGCTTGCATTTTCATTTGATAAAATTCGGCATCGGAACGGCTCTTTTGCCTCGCCAAATGCATCTCGTCTTCTATCGCAGCCATCTGTTGCAAAGACTCTTTCTCCATGATTTTCTGATTATACTGAATCTTTGCAACCTGTGCTTCCTTCTCAGCTTCGATGACAGCCTTCTTGCGATCAGTCTCAGCATCTTTCTCAACTACTTTTTGATGTTGCGTAGATATTAAAAGCTTTGTCTTTTCTCCTTCCCTAAATATATTAAATATATATATATATATACATTACATGTATAATATAATAAGAAATTTAAATAAATAAATATAAAAAATATAGAAATATATGCAAGAAAAATTTAAAACTTAAAAGAGAAAATTAATTAACAGAATCACTTACATTAATTCATAATTTTTCCTAATTGTTTCAGGAATTTTTGGTTTTGTTACTCTTACAGCCTGTATATTGAGACCAGGCGCTAATTCATTCAAGTCCCTTTGAAGCGCAGTTTTCAAGTTTTCATCAATTTGATCGAACAAATCAATGTAAACTTCATGCAGTGTATGTACAGAGCAAAATTGATTTAATTCATGATGCACTTTATTAAAAATTAGTGTGCGATCGTAATCTGCTGTGAAATTTCTCACCATATTGTAAACTACAAAGAAATTGTATATGTTAAATATTGTACAATTAGTGAGCAAATAATATACGTAAACATATTCTTGAGAAAGAACAAGCTCCAAGAGATCTCACCGCTATTTGCATCTAATATATTAACAACTTCTATACGATCAAAATAGATCATTACACCACCGCTGGTTCCACATGGCACATTCTTCACCTCATCCGTCTGCAGAGTTACTTGCACAGAACGATATGTGGTCAGCAATGGTATCATCATATGAAAACCTGGATTACTCACTTGAGGTAACAGTGCACCACCCTGATAGACAATTATAGAATAGAAAAATCGAGGAAATTGTGAGATTCTTAAATACAATCAAAGAAATAGATTTGAAATAACTCACCCTGAAGTACACCCCCACATGACCCTCTTCAATACGATGAAGAGAAAAGTTGAACACTATTGCAAAACACACAAGGAAGCAGATCGCTATGATTCTTTGATCAAACATAATTATCTGTTTATGAGATGCTGAAAAAAATATACGAAATAGTTAATAATTTAGGAAATATATGTATAAAATATATATATATATGTGTATGTGTGTGTGTGTGTGTGCCATATAAAAAATGCATATATATATATATATATATATATATCTTATATACACATATATATATATATATACATATATATATATATATATATATATATATATATATATATAAACTGTACAAGAGATGCACAGATATATATAAAAAAATAGAGCAAACATGAGTCACGAAATTCGAATAGCTTGAAATAAATAGTAGTTACGTAATGTGTGAATATAAGACGGTAGAAATTATACAAGGCACAATTAGCGAATCTTCATAATTCGGAATGCGACTTGTAGAAAGAGGTTATTTCGGGAATAATATATCCTACACACATACAGCTTATTGTCGACACACGAACGATATAGTACCTTCAAGTCAGAAGATGAAAAATGTGTGTCGCAAAGTAATGAGAGATCTATGATTATAATTAGAAATTACAACATAGTCAATTAAACTCATATTTGTGAAATTAATTCCTCGGTCTCATCCAGTAGCCATAGCGCTTCCTTCCAGTCGCTCTCTTTGACAGATATCGACTTTGGATAAAATATGACACGTCGGGAACGATGGAAACTGTATATATTAATTTTATAAAATAATTAATTGTAGTTTATGAATATTATTTATTTTAATATTATTTATTTATTTAAATTGTTATATTATACACTATAATATATTATATATATATATTATATATTATATTATATATTATATATTAATATTATATATTATATTATATTATAATAAAATATATAATTTTAAAAAATATTACATATTATAATATTAATTAAAAAAAAGAGAAAAATATTTTTAAAATAAAAAAAATATTTTTATAATAATATACACATACATATATATGAAATAATTGTACGAAGAAATTTTATTCTCTTCGAGACGGAATTTGAAATCACGATCGATTAGATTTTCGATCATATCGATTAATCGATTTGTATCGACTCGCTCATCGTGTTGACATAAGATACCGATGTTAGGTTGGGTTAGGTGAATTCTGAAATGATATGTATGTAAATAATTATTAGAGGTTTAATGGTGTTTTAATTTATTATATTGTTATACGATTTATTTAGAAAAATGGAGGTTAAAACAAAGAGCGAGCATTTACTGGCATTAAAAGGTAATCGTGAAATAATTAAAAAATTGCATTGTTTTTGCAAGCTTTTAGGTTATGCTATTTTAATTATTTTATTATATATATATATATATATATATATATATATAATATATAATTATTAATTAAATATAATGGTATGAAAAAATTATATATCCATAAAAATAATGAATTATTTTTCTCACAGTGATGAGACTAACACGACCTACTCTGGCAAGTCCTATGGTTGTTACCTGCGATTCAACAGATTTGCCAAGTAATACGCTAAACAATGAACTCAAAAATGATTGTACAGCGCTGCAGGGTATAGAAACGCTTGCTATAGGACAGTTTATGGTGTTACCTCAAAGCTTTGGGTACGTTTCTCAGTTTGGAAATAATCCTTCTTATATTAAGGAAAAAGAATTCCAAGCCAGTGCTATAATATTTCTTGAGTGATAGTTGGGTTTTATTTTAGGAATATCTATCTAGGAGAAATATTTTCCAGCTATCTATGTGTACATAATGGCAGTAATCAAGTGGTAAAAAATGTTACTGTAAAAGTAAGTATAATAGTATATAATTTTGGGATGATAATAATTATGTTTTTTTTTTATCATGTTAAATTTTTATATTTTCTAATGTCCTATTCTTTCTGATATATTCTATAGGCAGATTTACAAACAAGTACGCAGACAATTTCCCTCTCTGGTAATCTAGAAGGAAAGGAATTAGCACCTGATAGTACAGTAGATGAAGTTATTCACCATGAGGTTAAGGAAATAGGTACACATATGTAAGGATATTTATAAATTCTTATAAAAATTTATTCTCGAATTCAAATAAAAAAAAAATAATAAATAGATAATAAAAAAAAATAATTTTTGTTATATTTCTAGATTGGTTTGCGAAGTGTCTTACACAAATCAGGTTGGAGGATTTCCATTGTCGTTTAGAAAATATTTTAAATTCCAGGTAGTTAAACCACTAGATGTGAAGACGAAATTTTATAATGCAGAGGTAATATTTAAGTATTTAATTGCACTAAAGTTATACATGCTTCATACAAATTGTTATTCTGCCGATATTTCTGCCAATTTTCATAGTAATATTTTCTTTAAAGTCAGATGAAGTATATCTCGAGGCACAAATACAAAATTTAACAGCTGGGCCAATTTGTTTAGAAAAAGTTGTTCTTGAATCGTCTCATTTATTTAATGGTAAGTTGTCTCTGATCATAATTGAAAATGATTGTAATTCTGATTAAGAGTTTGATTTTTGACATAAATTGTATTCCAGTAACTACATTGAATACGAACGACGAAGGTGAATCTATTTATGGAAGCGTAAATCTATTAGATACAAATTGTAGTAGACAATATTTATACTGTTTAAAACCACAATTAAGCCTAATAAAAGATCCGAAAATGATGCAAAATGCCACGAATATTGGCAAATTAGATATTGTGTGGAGGAGCAATTTGGGAGAGAGGGAAGATTGCAAACGAGTCAGTTGCAGAGAATGGTACATTATATATATATATATATATATATATATATATATATATATATATATATATATATATATATATAAATTTAACATATATAAGATAGGCAATAAGAGCCAAATCGCGGATGACAGTGCGTTATTCTAAACGAAACTAAATTTTTTCGTTAGAATTAAATACCTGTGCACAAGGCACCAAATTTTTTTACTTGGGCACGGCCAAGATATAAAATTGGAATAATCTCTACAAGAGATTTTTAATCCATGTATCCCCTATTCCCCCTAAAGAAATAAAGTGCGAGAGAAAAATATAGATCCGAAAGTCGCAGAATCGGGAATCGAACCCGAGACCTTTCGCTTGCCGGGCGACTTCTCTTCCAACTGAGCTATTCAGATCCTTTCGATTCTATACTTTTCTCTGTTATATATATTAATGTTGGTAAATAAACGCCTTTAAGCCAGCGTGTATAAATTAAGAGTTTAACTAGGCTCTGTAATCTATTAATAAATATTATTCATAAATATATATTATTAAATAAATATTCATTAATAAATATAATTATATGTATATAAAATTACATTTTATCTCAGGCACCTGAATACGGAGATCTGAGGGTCATCATGAAGGATGTTCCTTTAAAGGTGTATCTTGAAGAACCAGTTAATTGCACATGTCATATAATAAATACATCGTAAGTGCAAAATTTCAAAGAAGAAAACGTACACGATATATTATTGTGAACATAACAGGTCTTTCACTTTTTTTATTTGTAGAGAAAGAAGTATGGAGTTGCTATTGAGCCTAGAGTCCAATGATTCCATAGCTTGGTGCGGGATATCCGATACAACTATTGGTACTTTGAAACCCGGGGTTTCTATGGACATACCTCTTTGTTTGATTACGTTGACTACAGGCATTATTGTAATTTATTTTTATAGAATGTTTATACATTAGTATATGTATATATATAATATATACATATAAAATTTTATTTTATATATATAAACGCGTTTCTTTTTTTTACAGACTATCTCTGGATTAAAACTGACAGATACGTTCTTGAAAAGAGTATACGACTATGATGATTTAACACAGATTTTCGTCAATCAATTGGACTGAAATGTATGCATGCAATAAAAACTCTTTCTTCAGATGGCATCGGAATTTAGATGGCATTTTTATTTATAAACATATATAACTCATATGTCGGGATTATATAAAATATTTTATGGAATATTTAGAACATTCTTAATGTAATATATTTTAGTATTGATATTACCTTAATTTGTGTAATATAAAGAGATCTTTATTCAATTGTTCTAATAGATAATACTTATAATTTTGTATAAAAATGTATATTGAGTGCTAGGCAATCTCTGAACTCGATCATTTTTTAAATCAAATTTTATCATAAGAGTTACTTGATGTAATTTTGATGTACCAGAGTTATACTGAAGAGCTCATAAATATTCATCCATTGTTGACATTTTTTCGTTTTCACTGACAGCTCCTACCGCACATGCGAGTAATGTTTGAACGTCTTGTGGCTCATTACCACCGAAAACATATCCGCTGGCTTTATCCACCGCTTTTTTCACTTCTAACAACAATGCTTTATTAGAAACATCTAATGGTATAAAACTGACAAGACTATAGCCCTCGATTATCGATATTAGCGCTTTATTAAGTTTCTTGTGCCTGTAAAACATCACATCTACTTAGGAACTTACCGTAAAATATTTTACAAATTTGAATGGAACACATTCACATTTAAACATTATATATAATTTAAATACAATTAACTTACTTTCCAATAAAAACATCTTCATCCAATTGTTCTAAGAGATAATTCAAATCCAGTACTTCTGTGTAAAAATCTATATTGAACGCTAGGCAATCTTTAAACTTCTTCACTTCATCAAATTTTGTCATAATATTTACATGAGGTAAACCTACTTGTAACATCACTGTTGTGCAAAGAATCAGAGAGGATAAATATTTTCCTGTAAATAATAATAAAAAAATACACAATTAAATGTGAAATTCTAATAATCTAAATTATATATATATAATTAAAATTAATTTATTAGTATTTACCAGGATCGCTACAATGATGTGAATCTATAAGATGCACGCTGCACAATCTTATTAAATTCTCACTCAATTTCTCTGTTATCCGACTCACTGATTTATGATGTGTATACAATTCAACCTGTTAAAATTTTATGTCTTATTTATATATTCACTATAAAAAGATAATTTAAGAAAACTTTGTATCACAACTCACTTGACCCGGGCAATCAAAAATGAGATAGTGATCCTTTAAATTCAAAACTTTTGTGATAAGCCACTGCACATTGATTTCTAAAAATTCCATGCAATGTACTAAAGCACCATTTGGCCCAAGTCCACAGTCCGTCATAACATCTTCGTGTTTAATTAATTCAGATATATCTATTGCCGGATTATATTCCATGTTTTCATTTGCTGGATCTAAAATGTAATAAACTGCTTGCTTAGATTTAATTAAATAAAAAAAACCAATTAGAATAATATTTACATACCAATGTTAATAACAGCTACTTTTCTTCCAAGGGACTCGAGAAATTTAGACATTGCATTACAATATGTTGTTTTTCCACTACCGGGTGGACCGATAACCAGCTGTCCAAAAATTAAGCTCATAGTGATGCGGTAAATATTATATTACCACGGTTTTATCTGATTTACAGCAGCAACAATAGATTTTAAAGTATTCACGTTATAATCTTTCAAGGCTATCGATAGCAATAAAGGTTTCTCAATGTTAAGTTCTTGCGCTATATATCTGGCAGCTACATGAACGTCATTGTTGTCACTACCAAAGAGTGTCCTAAAAATTTTAATACAATTAAGTGTCATATATTATACTAATGCAGCTTTAAATTGCACAGTAATTATTTACCACTTACTTTATTGTGAATACATCACTTGCGTAACCATTCACAGAGGACTCACGATTTATCATCAATAAAGTGCCGAATTTTTTGAAATGCGTTACAATCAACAGCGTCCGATTGCTACAAGAGAAAATATGCGATAATATTGTAAATAAATGTTTGTTCCAAAAAAACAAATACAAAGAGGTTACATCGTAATACCTATATGGTCTTAAAACGATATCAGTGTGATGGTCATTTGTAACAATACCGCAGGAATATTCAGTCATATTTTTTACACATGAATCGGCATGAATGTATAATAATAATAATAATAAGTAATAGTAGCTGAAACGTCAGTTCAGCTGCAACAGAAACAAACTTGTGGATACTCTTATCTGACTATAGACATGTGGGTTGTCATCATCATCATTCAATAATTCGATGTCATCAACACGATGAGAGTAACATAATTGACATTTGATAAATAATTATATTAATAATAATAATTATATATATTATATATTGTATATTATATGTAATAATTATATATAATAATTATATACAATAATTATATATTACGCAACCATTTGATTGGTTGAACAGGGTATTAAGTCAATTTCCAACTAGACTTAATCGGACTATGAATACGAGCCATTATATCTATAATAATACTAGCTTTTCGGACCGCGCGAAGCGCGGTCCTCATATAGCCTATATTAAATCCGTTTTAACACAAAAAATTAATTCTTTTTTTGTATTACCGCGAACTACTTCCATATTTGTTGTCCGACTTTCACGAAATTTATATCAAAATAAATGTTTAAATTTTTTTGGATGACTACTATGTTATCTATTTCTTTCTCCCAGATATTTTATTTTACACCGCGTTTTGCATATATATTTAAATATTTATTATATATTTTTATTTTATTTTCTTGTTTATTTTAATTTCCACACAATTTCATATTTTTTAAATATAAAACATTATTTTAGTTAATATATACTTTAAATATTTTTTTTATTACTTAATTATTATATCCTTTTTTACATTTTACTCAATTTTTTTTATTTCTAATGTACCCACCGCTAACCCGCTATTATTAGCTCTCATACAATGTCATAATTCTTCAATTTACAAAATTTCCCTGTATATTACATTTTTTGTAAAACATTTTTTACTTTAATCACAAACACGTACACACATTTTTTAAAAATTACTTCTTGGTGTGACCAAGTCAATAAATGCGTATGCACATGCGGGTACGTAGATACGTGGGTGAGTGCGTGGGTGGATAAATAAAGTGATAAAAATTTGTTAAAATCATATAGTAGCCATCCCGGACAAAATTTGAGTACAAATTTCGAAAAAGTCTGTGAATAAATGTTTGAATGCGTGGGTGGATGCATGGGTGGGATAAAACTTAAAAGAACCACACAGCAGCTTTCTCAGAAAAATTTGCAACATTTTTGTACCAATTTCGTAAAAATTGGTCCATAAATGCGCATGCGCGTGGGTGAATGCGTGGGTTGAGGTGTAACACTTGAAAAAATTACATCGTCGCCATCTCCAAAAAATTTGCAACATTTTGGTACCAATTTTTACAAAAATCCGTTCATAAATATGCGATTGCATGGGTGGATGCGTGGGTGGGGGCGTAAACCTAAAAAACCCACACAGCAGCTTTCTCAGAAAAATTTGCAACATTTTTGTACCAATTTCGTGAAAATTGGTCCATAAATGCGCATGCGCGTGGGTGGGTGCGTGGGTGGAGGTGTAACACTTGAAAAAACCGCATCGTCTCCATCTCCAAAAAATTTGCAACAATTTGGTACCGATTAAAAAAAAATCGGTTCATAAGTATGCGATTGCGCGGGTGGGTGCGTGGGTGGAGGCGTAAACTTAAAAAACCCACACAGCAGTTTCCTCAGAAAAATTTGCAACATTTTGGTACTAATTTCGTGAAAATTGGTCCATAAATGCGCATGCATGTGGGTAAATGCGTGGGTGGATGCGTGGGTGGAAGTGTTACACTTGAAAAAACCGCATCGTCGCTATCTCCAAAAATTTTGCAACATTTTGATACCATGTGTTCAGAAATATTGCAAAAAAAATTTTTTTTGCAAAAACATACCCTCCTCTGAGGAAAAAAAATAAAAATAAAAAAATTAAAAAAAAAACCCACAGCACCCTTACGAAAAGGAACTATTGCCGGCCGTGTGATTATTACACGCGGCTGTGTGATTATTACTGATGGCTCTGTAATTATCAAGACGAATATTATTGCCTCTATAATAATTACTAGCAACGGAATACAGACGAATATTACTCGCCTGTTGGGTATCACTAGAAAGATCACTGCATATGTAATAACTACTGAGGGTACAAATTACACGCAAATATTACTGGATGTCGCTCATGATTAATTCTATTATATAATATAAGCAGAAATATTGAAAATGTTATTGCAAATATAAAAACTTTAAAATTTTGTTATGCTAGAAGGTTTAAATATTTCTTTCAAATAAAGCAGCAAAATATTTTTGCAAAGATACAAATAATATTAGGTGTTTTTATATATGAATAATGTAAATTTAATTAAAAAATAAATGTTTTATAAATATATAGTATAAATTATTATTTATATATTTAATAAGTTTTTGCTTTTATTTATTTTAATTATTTACGAAAGATTTTATTGAACGTTTTTTAATGTCTAAAATATTTAAAAATTAATGTTCCATATTTTCTGCAATAAATAATTTTTTACAATGTTAAAATTTTTTACAATGTTAAAATTTACAATGTCACAAAGTGAATAACGTACAATAAGTTACATACTATCAACGTTATTTTTTATTTGGAAGAAAAGATTTTTAATACAAATGTTAAAACAATTATTGCTTTACATGTATAGATTTTTAAATTTACATTTTTTTACATTTTTATTTTACATATGTTTTTTACATTTACATTTTTCATTATAAACTTATTTCATAATTCTTATTATTTATATAATTCAATCAGTTTCTATATTATTTACAAGAGGTATTATGCATCGCTTATTATTATCATAATTAATATTGTTTAGGAATAAACAGGAATATTAATACATTTCTTTCTAATCGCAGAAGGAAATACACATTTAATAATGTCTGTTTTTTCTATAACGTAAGAGAAAAGATTTGACGTTATATTCCTATTTTTACATATTTCATCACCACGCAGTGTTTGCAATACCTTACAAATTAACAATTGTTTTTTTATGCCTGCTGATGTTTCTGCTATACATAGATATTGAATATCTAATAACGATCTATCTGTAGTTAAAATTGTACTGTTACATCTTTTTTTTAGTTGAGTACAATTGGAACCATGATAGAGAATATTTTGGTATATAAATCGCTGATAAGCTAGTGCTTTGTTTTTAACTGATTCTCCCAAAAATTGTTCGACAGTTATTTTTTCTATTAATGATAACTCTATGATAATTGCAGAACCAAATGCTCGCAAAGAATTTCCATATTCCATGCATCTTTTAATTCGACATTCTTTTATAATAGAATCAAAAAGATCCTTTCCTTTTTTACTACAATTAGGCTGATCAAAAACTGAACTTTGTTTTACGTATCTTATACGAGAATAAAATTTGCAGATTTGTTCCGGAATATATTGAGTGCCGTTAAAAAGTGATTGTATAGTATGATTAAAATCTTCATACGGAAAAGTTGACCATGCCCATAAAGCGCCAAATTGTTTTACAGCTTTTGGAATATGTAACATCAAGTGTATATTGTAGTTCATAAACATTGCTCCATACAATTTTTCAGTATCAAGTACAAATTTTTGGAGCGCAAACGTAGCTATGATAAAATTATTAGGAGATATTGTTGTACTTAGAAAAACATGCATACTGTAAACTAGTAACAACCAATGCTGTACATATTTATTTGGCATTAACCCTTTTAAACATATGAGAGAATAATATAAAGCAAAATTTTTGTATTCTGCACCTTTCCACAATCTCCGTTGTGTTATTGATTGAGGTGTTCTAGTTATTTCGGAGGTAGGTTTCATGCTCATTAATCTTTTATCAAAGAGCACTTCGTGCTTACGTAAGGACCAATCTTTCTCACGATTGCTAGAGTCAAACCATGCCATCAAAAATTGTTTAATTACACCTTCTGCCAGGCTGTGCAAATATTCCGGCGGAAATGATGAAATGACGTTAAACAGTGGTATAAGTGTAACAATTGATGGCCATTTGACGCCCTTAACTGGTTTATTTTTTTCTTGACTTTTTTCAGCATGACGCACGTAATGGCTCTGTTTACGTAAAGTACATATATTGCCACAGTATACTCGTTTTCGCCTATTTTGTTCTATACAAATTTGTTTTCCTTTATGATAACAATATGGGCACCCATACTTTCCATTATACTGCTTTATACCCTGAATGGCTGATCTGGCAACAGAATCAACCGGAGCAAGCAATGTATGGACTTTTATAAGAATTGGTTCTTGGTGAATGAATGTCGTGCTTTCAAAGCCATTAAAATGTAAATCTATCAGTTCTTCAAGAAAAGGTTGGAGAAAAACATTCATTGGAGGTTTACTTGATTGGAACCATAAACCAGTTAGCAATATTTGTTGTTTTCGAATACGATAAGGCAATTCATTAATTGTTACCAAAATTGGCCATAAAGAAGATAGGGAAGAATTAAAAAGTTGTACGCCATCTGTATTCCATTGAATAGTAATGTCATTTTCCCCTATAATATTTTTTCTTTTCAGTTTACGGTACACTTTACCATTGATAACGTCACTTTCCTTTTCGTTTTCCTGTCGAAATTGCATAAAAACCTTAGAATTAACTAACTCGATTAGTTGCTCTTTCAGCGGTATATATATAAAAATTTTCCATCTTTTTTGAGCTGTGATGGGTTATACTGCTCAGAACAATTATCGCATTTTACAGTAATGCAGTCATTGTCAACATGTAAAATAAGTATACATTGTGGACAAAAGTAATATACATGATAAGTCTGCTTTGGTACAGATTTACAAAATAGATATTTCAAACCGTGACATGTGCGAGGAAGATGGCAATCAATGGTTTGGATGAAAGATTGTAATGCTGCATCAGTGAAATGATGACGTAAGGCTACACTCATTATTAGAAGTACACTTTCTTCTTTTGTTAAATCGCAGCCCTCATATAAAACTTGTCGGCACTGTAATATTTTTTAAATATTATTAAAAATATTGTATGCGTAATAATAACTTTAATTTATTTGTTTACCTGTACGTCATGATTGGGACAACGCTTTTCAACATTAATATTTTCATCTTCAAAATTTTCTTCATCCTGATCTGATTCGAAATTCTCGGAGCCTTCATTGAAATCGCTAACACTTGATGATTTGTGCTCTTCAATACTGTCATAATCATTATTATCATCGCTTATGCTTGTATCACTTTGCTGGTCACTGTCATCAATTTCTTGAACCGATGAATTACTATCATCAATATTATCAAGATTTGCAATACATAAATGGTCTAGTAGTTCCTGTTGATTTACATAATCTTCATTTTCATGCAGATCATCAAACGGTAGTCCATTCTACACATAATATTCATGTGTCAAAATACATATATATACAAATTGCAAATACTTAACATATAAAGAAAAACATATGTCAATAAAATTATGTTTGCGCGTACGCTCGATTGCTGACGTTGAACGCTCACGCACGAAGCTACGGATCCTGACAATCGGGTTGTAAATCCGATCGTCGATATCCGTCTCGTGTATAGATTGCACAGGAAGATTCAAAGTGGACTGTATCTTAAGGAGGGTGGACGCGCTCCGATTGGTGCGCAGGATGGGTAACGATTTAAGCCACGTGCCGAATCGAGAACCAGAATACGGAATTATATGCACAAATTACATAAAACAATCCATTTATTAACTAAATTTGTCCGAGAGTCACAATGTACATAAACGCAAATTAATTTGAAACCTTTACATAAAATCTTTATCTATTAACGAATAAAATAGTCACCGCGAAAACACGTACGACGTGGTTGTTAAGCAGTCCGAAATGTCTCACTATATGGTATCTAGCATGTGTTGCATGGACACCACCGAAAAACTATTTGTTGCATAACAATTGCTAGTTACGATGAACACGCTCGAAACTCGTGTATCGAATCGTTCGAAATCTCACATTAAGATTTCGTACACGTTGCCGATTGCGGCGAATGCGATATTAAATCGCGAACCGAAATGTTTCAATTAACATGAAGAATCACTGATCACATAAATGTTACAGTGCGTTGAGCACCACGGGCTCGAAGGGATGAAAAAAAAGGAACGCAAACACAATCACGACATCAGGTATCAGTCCCAGATGACTGATCACGTGATCTGCGCGCTCCAACTCACGTGATCTACGCGTGCCAAGCGAACACGCGCGAGCCTCATGTATACAATTATTACGTTCGTGGAAACAATCGGACTTCGGCACCTTGATATTTCACCATTGCGTGAATTCTGGTCCCAAATCACTGAATTCCGCTTCGTTAACAATGTTTTGAGCGCAAATTTTATGTCGCGTATATAACGGCGCACCTTGTTGCTACCGTTAATTAGCGAATGTCAAAGTGAACGTATTTCACATCTCACTTATCACTGAATCACAGCAGAATATCAATCTGATTATTTTTTTTATTAATCAAACGAACTACGAACAATTAGAATCGCGACGGAAAACCCACATGTGACTAATCGCAAAGCCGTGCAAGGAGCGAATGCCCAGGTTCGATGACGAGGCAGTTCATCCCCGATCGATTCGATAATCGAACGCTTGAAGCGCGGCGTGTAGGTTCAGTGCGTGCTGCCCCGTGCCGGATTAACTCAAAAATTATAGAATTTCAAATTATCGACCTACTTCTTCATTCTCTTTGAACAAATAATAAAGTTCTTGACCTGGGGTCAACTTACTTCTGAACAAATTAACTTCAAAATTCATGTAAGTAAATCAAATATTACAATTATATTTTAGAAAATGCAAATTTATAATTATTTATTATGTACTTACACGTGCATCAGGGGACATAACCTCTTCATTGTATGTCGTTCTCTTGCCCGTACTACATTCACCAACACCAACTCGTCTTTTCTTTCGAGAATAGTCTGTCGATAGAGGAAGGTCGCCAGTCCTTTTCAAATGTTCTTTATAAGGGCCTCGTTCATTATTCTCAATACTTCGTTTCAAAACCATCGATGTAATTATACAAAACATAGAGCCACGTGATAACGAGGTGATATGCAAACTGTTGCGCGTTGAGCATGCGTTGTGGAACGCATGCGTACGCGCATAAGGATAACGCGGTAAACCAGAAAGAATCATACTCGCGATACGATCGTGCTAACAAGGAATTCGGAGGAATTTGGAAAGTATAGATAATTATAGTATTTATCAGTATCGGATAATGGAGGTGAATGACACAGAGGAGTTGAACGATGAAAAGTGTATTCTCGTAGAGTTTCCTAACGAGAACGGAAATATAGCCGTTGGATATTTCGCATGGCTAACAACAGTGAAAGAAGAAGAACGTGTAAATGCACTTATAAAAAGCGGTGAACATGTAGTTATTCGTTGGCCGGCGAATTGCATCGTTGGTCCACTGATGCAAAAATGAAGAAAAATTTCTTATTGCAAGTGGACTCCGCACATCGTGTCCATTTTAGGATTGGGGTTATTAATATGAGTATAGTTTTTAAATAAAAAAATTTTATTATATTTACTTTACTGCATATATGGCAGTGACAATATTATTTAATTAGGATACTTGTAAATTTGTAAAATTATAAATATCTACATTTATATATTCACAGATTGGACAAGCATGAACACGCAGCTTAAAAATTATCTTAAATATGATGAGCCAAATCCAACGAAGGAAGATAGGAAGAAGTATGCTGCTAAGAAGAAAGGCAGCAGTAGTAGTGAAGAGGATGATAAAAAGAAAGAATTAAAGGTATGAAAAAAATTAAAAATTTCAAGCCGTAAAAGATAAAAGTAAGACATTAATAAAGTCAATTCTTAACGTGAACAAAACATCAAAAATTAGAAAATTTACAGCGCATACATCTTAAAGTCTACAGTATTATGTAAATACTGTAGACTTAACATGCATGCGCTGTAAATGAAAAAATTTTCAAGCTGCAATTACATACAAGTAAGACATTAATAAAATAGTATTTATAAAATACTGTAGACTTAAGATATATGCGATGTGAATTCTTTAATTTCTGATGTTTTTTTGATATGTAAGAATTGATTAATTAATGTCTACTTTTATGTCTTAATTATAGCTTGATTTTTTACATATTATACTTTCAATCTTTTCATTACTTTATATCTATTATGTATATATTATATATATATATAA